GTATACCCAAGCACTTGTAAAGATAGAGCCAGAATGCGCGAAACGATTGACCTGTACAAGTGCTCTCAAAAAGAACCGGCCTATGCTTGTTTTTGTGGTATTGGATGATTGGATGATATATATATATAGATCCCCTTGTCATATTCTCTTGGCATCTAAGACTCCAAGCTGTTATACATCTCTGGTCCATGGACTGAGCGATGTGTTAGCCCTGCTCGACAGGTTTTGGGGCATCGCCATGTTAGTCCTGGTGGCGAATGCCGGGGATCGCAGATCCGTAGTGGCAGTGGTGGCAGCAACCAGGTCAATGTCAAGTAGAGTATATATTTTTTTCCAAGTTTTGAAGGGTAGGTTTGCCTCGCTCATGACCAGATTGTCATGCACAGCGCACAAGTCCTTGTAATATCAATATCTGTGTTGAGCAGTCTGACACCTGTCACCGGCTGCTAAAAGTGGTGCTAGCGCCAATGACAGTGAGACAGATCTCATCGAGCTTCGCAGACTTTGCTGTTTGTATTTGAAGACTGTGGTGTTTTATATTGATTGGTGAGTATATGAATAAGACCTCTCAAAGACCCTGGAAGAAGGGAAATAGACCAACACCCATTGGCTGGGGATCTCCGTCTTACAATACCGTTGCAGATGTGCGATATGCGCAGGTGGACCGTTTTCTCTCAGCTCCACAGCTATTCTGAGTTGGCCTTCCTGGTTCCTGACTTTGGTACGCCTATAGAATTTCACGAAAGCAAGAAGTGTTCCTCATAATTTATGGTGTTTCGGCCAAAAGCAGAGGATGAGCAGCGTGAATATCTTCCAAACGAGGCTGGTGACTAGTAAACCCAGAGTCACATTGCTCCTTTGACGCGTGCTGCTACAGCAGGTCAGTCGGTGGTTAGGGTCACCTCACCTTGGGAAGTCCTTGGCTGGGCAGTTTGTGAGGCTCACAGGTCTCACTCACACTGCCGACCTCATGAATGAAGATAATAATGCAGAGCATTCAATACAAGGAACAGAGATGAAGGAAGGAAGGAAGGAAGGAAGGAAGGAAAGAAGGTAAGGCCCCCTCTAAAGTAAGGGCAATGGTTGTTCCCCGCGGAGCCCCGCGAGGGCAAACGTAAGGGGCCTTATTTACCTTCCTTGTTTTCTCTCTTTCTCTTTTTCTTCTATCAACCAGTTCACCGCAAGGTCTGCGTATCCGGCCTCTGGAAGATTGTCAACATGATCCTCGATGCCCGGACCCTCAAAAGGGACAAAACGTGTGACGCTACGACAACCGCCCGGCACAAAGCGACGACAAAGCTGGTGCCCATGGACAGCATGGACATGATCCCCCATGCACTGGCCGTGTGAACACGAGACACAGAACGGTCAGGCCATGGGATGTTGTGGGAGGCGGGCCAGAAAAGGCAAGGTGCAGCCAGCCCAGTGGTGTGAGCTTAAGTATATACTCGGGGTCTACATGGGATTACAAGCAGAAGAAAACAGGTTTGTGTCGCTGAGTTACAAAGCGATGGGATGCAATTGACTTGCAGCATCATTCTGTGTTGGGGCAGGTGGTAATGGCCGCTCACGTAGGTTAGTTCATTGTGCAAGGTGCGATTTTTCTCTCTCTCTCTCTGTCTGTCTGTCTGTCTGTCTCTGTCTGTCTGTCTGTCTGTCTGTCTGTCTGTCTGTCTGTCTGTGCCACATTTGCCGTGCAAATGCCGCATGATTGTGAACCAATTTTGATGAATAACATTTGAACTAGGAACCGGCTGGAGATTGTATAAAGAGAGGGTCCCTTTAGCTGTAATGGACACACGGCAAAAAAGGGGGTCTATTTTCGTGTGTCTCACAACAGGATAAAGAACAAAGGACAACATCTCCCCGCTCTTCACTTTGAGATCTGTTTTACCCTTGGGTAAGCAATGTCGATTGCGGGCAGCAAGCCCCAATACACACAACTGTCGAGCGAGTTTTGAAGCAGTGAGGGTCGTGCCCATCGGCAGCAGATGCCCTTTGTGGAGCAGTCACTTGGACTTGGAGCAGCGGATGTCATCATGTTCGCCGCACAAATTACACTTGGAGTCACGGAAGTGGATGGCATGGCCCCGAAAGGATGACCATTTTTTGCTCTACAAGCAGGTGGTTTTGTGGCTTTTCCTAGTAGCTTCTTGTTACTACTAGTAAGGCACTTGTTACTACTAGCGATGCACTTGTTCCTAGTAGCTTCTTGTTACTGTGGTTTGTGGTTTTCCACTTCTATGATTATTTCACAGAGTGTAGGTCCATGTTCTCGGGCGAAGCGACCTGTGACGAGTGAAGGTGAAGGGCTTCCTGCGAAGTAGTGTCAACTGATATGGACTTTTTCAAGGTCCAGCAAAACAGGCCTTCCAAATTGGGGACAGACGTGCGTGTTCGCACCATGCTCACGACTTAGCTTGCAAAGAGGCTTGAGGCTTCGTCAACGATCCAACCAACACCATTAGACTCACTCCTGTTGGCACAAAAATTGACAGTATTCTGGGTTTGTGTTGGGGCCAGGCCTTCAAAACTGGGACAAATCCTCAGATTCAGAATAACCACCACCAGTACCAGAGAAAGCAAGGATCTGTGCTTCAATTACATGAGAAAAGACCCTTTGCACCCTTCCTTCTTGGAGATTCTTCAGCACCTGGTTTCTATGAGCCAGTGGTGGTTGTGCTCGCATGTGCCTCGCCGGCGACACGTTGGACCACAGGCTGAAAAGTCAGCCCCAACACGAGCCCCAGAAACCAATGGCAGTGGTCATCTGTTGAAAAAAACCACCAGCTGGTTGCCGTAGGGGTCATGGCTTGATCGGAGATCGGCTCCCAGAGAACCGGTCGAGGCAGCAGTGGAGGATTCACACCCGGTGGTTCTTCAACTGGGCATCTGTGGCTGCAGCGCGAGCGGGGATGAAATCGAAAAGCACATGGTCAACAAAAACTCGGGATTTCGTTTGGAAGTTCAGTTGGATTTGGGCAAGGTGGCACACCGAGGGAGGTGGTGAACCACAGGGTTTCTGGCAGAGAAGCTGCCAAGGATTTGATGGTTTGCATTGATGCAAGCCCAGCAGCCATGTTTTTTGGCCTTTTGATGAAGCTGTCTCAGACTGAGACCCCGGATCGAACATGCCTTTGGGCGAGTTTCTGCTGGACTTCTTGGCGTTGAATCTGCAAACATGTGCTATGGGTCAAGAGAACATTTTGGCAGACTGATGCACGTATGGATTCAAGCTATTATCTATTCTATAGAAATTGCTTCTGGACATCCTAACGAATTCATGAGTACCTGCTGGCAGCACCTAGCCGGCACCACTTGCCACCAGCCGTTGGCAAACCAGTGTCCCCAAGTCCTCAACCCTTCAGAGGTTTGAACATGTTTGTACTCCGAGCGGCGCAGTGGGCGGTCTGGAACGATGAAGAAGGGTTAAACTTTTTTCGTTCTTGGAATCCTTCAATACAGCGTTCCGTGGCATAAAGCTTTCCCGACACTCACTTCTTTTCTTGACATGTTTGGTTCCAGCATGGATTGAATTCTCAAGTCCTTTTATGTAACAGCGCAGCAGGCCGGACGGTCAATTTCAATCCCGATATAACTTAGAACGTGCCCCAAAGGAGGGAAGAGGGTAGGGTTAGTGACGGTTAGACCTTAACAAGCCATCTGGTCCGGGCGGTAGGGCTAGTGATGATTGGAACATTTTCTGCAAAAAACAAGTATTGACATGTATTGACATGTACAGTATTGGTTTCAGCCTTTCACGAGTTCACTGGACAACCGGTTGCTCCACGTGCCGACCACGTTGGCTCTCGTGCAGACTGGACGTGAAATGGCTTTTGCAGGGTGGATCCTGGCACCTAGCGATGCACCCTTCATGCCAAAATAAACACCTGGGCCCGAACTTCGGAGTAGGAAAAATAGGCTACAATCTGGTATTTTTGGGTGGGTACCCCCGCACCTTGCCGACTCTAACAGTGCGGAATCGATTCCGCGCACCGCGCCAACTTCGCTGTTGAAACCGCTCCTGCCAGGCACAGGCTGCAGAGACAGCCATGATGCCCAGCGTGGCTGTGCTCAGCGAGGACGCGGCATGCGCACCTGCGGCGGCGGGGGGGGCGCGCGGCGGGGTGTAACGTCATGCCGGTCGGTGGCCAGTTTTCTTGTGAAAAGAACACGCAAATGCTGAAGATGCCTCGGTCCAAGAGATTTGGATTGGCTCAGTGGTCGGTCTTTTGGATGTTGAACGGTCAGAGTTGAAGCAAAGAAAACACAGGACGAAACGCCAAGCGCGTGGACCAAACAGCTTGTGCGAGACCAGTTCTGGCCTAGTATTGCTCTCCTATTTGACTCTGACAGATGTTGTTACTGTAATTCCGTTTGTTCTTTTCTGCGCGGCCGCGCCGCTTGCAGGTTATCCTGTTTCTCAGCATTGACCCACCCCATGCCAGTTCTTCACTCGATTCACACGAAGAATTAAACTACCAAGACTGGGCCCCACGGATTTCAGTTGAACTGCTTTCATGTTTGTTAGAGCAAAAACATCTATATATAATAGGTGAGGTGGGTCAATCCAGTTCTTGACCCCGGATTTCACACCCAGCCCCAGGTTTGACCCACAGTAGCTAGATGGGCTTGACCTTGCTTTCCGTGAAGTCTCATCATTTTCCAGTGGCCTTCTCCCCTCACTGTCTTGAACAGCTCGATCGTAGAAGCACTTGAGTCTATTTGGTTGCTAGCCACTGATCCATTGTCAAATGATCATTCAAGTACTGTACTGTAGATGCAGATTGGGGCGAAACGCAGAGGAATTGAGTACAGACGGCTGGTGTGGAAACTTGCTTGTAAAGACCATTGAGCGCATGCCAGTTTACACAGGGTTCCGAGCCGCTTTTCTTTGTCCAGCATTGGCTCTTCCATCAAAGCGGTGAGTGCTTCCGCAGAGCCAACGTGTCTCATCTCCGTCTGGATTAGGGAATTTGTTGTGGTCCTGTGCTGTCTTGGCGCTATGAGCGGCCCGAGAAATGAAGGGCTCTGGTTGAAACTATTTGAAACTCAAAGTTATATAGGTAGGAGGAAGCCTACAGCTTCCATGTTCGAGTGCCCTCCCAAATAGGGGAGGTTTGCCAGCTCCACTTCACATCCTCCGCATGGCATGGCACTTCTCTGAGCCAAAAGCCACCCGCCATGCGAGAATACAAGCGTGCGGACACCCCCACATCTGCTGGTGAGCTGCAACTTGGTCTGGAGAAGAGAAGGGATGGGTGGAAGATGTAGAAGGGCCTTAAAAGGGGAGTCACTGTGATATGTCCCTGAACACAACACCTCACGAAGTGAAGCCTGGGGTATATACCGGATGAATGCGACCACACCTGACCTAATCAAAGGAGTTCTGTGGCACCAAAAAAAATGCTTGGACTTTTTTGGGAATATGTCTTCAACACGGAGGCCGATGCTGTTATACTTTGATATCAATTTTGCAAGAAACACTTGGCAAAGGACCGGAGTCGCTGCCACCACCTGGTGTGTCCGGAACACCTTTCCGAAGCATCCGTGCTTCCGCAGGGATTCGGAGGATGACGAGGAGCTGCAGGCACGGATCATCCCCTAGCGGCTAGAGCAAATGGATCGAATTCCCTCCACGGGCAACCACACTTCTTGGCTTCGCCTTCCAACGACACCCCGCGACCCTTGAGTTTGACTGAGAGAGGCATAGGGATTGCACTCAGTGATTTTTGCTGGGCTATTCTCGATCGAGATCTAGCGAGACATATGAGTCTGGCATTGAGCCGAAGCCTTCGTAGCCTTGGTGCTACTAGGAACAAGTGCATCGTTGCTAATTTGCTAGTAACAAGAAGCTTCTAGTAGCGATGCCGTGCCCTTGTTACTCGTAGCCGTGCTGTTCCTAAATGAGATGATTCACTGCTTCACCTCTCGATCGTGTAAAGCGAGGCTTGCCCGGATGAAGCCGCACTCTTGGGCTCGCGAGCCGACAAGAAGGCTTTGGTCCAGGTGCTGAGACGCTTCAGCAAGGAGCGACGGCGAGTTCTAGGGTTGGTAGGAGGTTCGTGTTTGTGAAGCACAGGAGATGAAGAGCAAAGTGACGAAGGGCTTTGGGCAAGTCGATGATTTCAATTGCCCTTGAAATCCACAACACCTACTTGCGAAAGGTAGTTCAGAAGTTAAGAAGGACTTCCTACATTTTCCCACCAGGTACGCAGAGATTTCTGAAATAACCTGCTTTGAGCCATTGAGCCTAGTTAAGTGGGTGATCCTGCAAGTATGGTTGTTGAGAACATAGTGCAGACGCGAATGTGGATGATGCCTAATTGGTACTGATGCCTATACAGGTCGAATTTCGAGCCATCTCGCACGTGCGAGGTGAAGGCAGACATGCGGCATAACCGACATGTGATGATAGGTCAGCAAGACAATACCAATTTCCGACAAGAAAGAAGAAAGCAATTTCATCGAGTTTCTTGAAGGTTGGGATTCGTCAACCCAAAGTATAATTTCTGGAGTTGATATCCCGGTAAGACAACTATGTCAAGCAGTTTTTTGTTGCTTTCGCACCAGAGTTTTGCAAGTCAAACTTGCGACCCAGAACCATCAATGAATCCGTGCGGGGGAGCCAACAGCTCACAACATCTCCGACTGAAACACGTGCCGACTCTTGCACGGTCTGAAGCACACTTCAATGCACATATTCTGCGAGACTTTCCAAAAGATGAAGGCTGGATTCTTCTTATATACCTCTTCGTAAGCTTGTCCTTTTTGGACAAGTGTTCTCTTGCAGCACAGCAAATTGTATATTTTTCATTGTCTTTTTCAGACTATCCTGTCGGATATGTTTTCCTTCGCACGATCAATCTCCCAGGACAATCTAGCGGATGAGAGCTTGATGCTCAGAGACGCCTGGGGGGTGATGTGACACGAGAAGCGGTGGTCGTGGGATCATGCGACAAGACAAAATGGTCTTTGTTCGTGACGGGTGTGCGAGGCTAATTTCCCGTAACAATGGGCTGACCAAGTTGTGGGCGGACAGAAACAAGAGAAGATGGGCGTCCGACTCCTTTCAATGATTGCCAGAACTGGTTTCAAGAATTCAGCCCTGAGATTGGACACATTCCTGCAAACAAGGACAAAAATCACGGTTAAACACTTGGCGACACCTATGTATAGGGAGACCCTAGACAGGTACCGTAATATTCTGCAGTCTGCAGGATTTTAGCTTGATCATGGCGCGAGACTCCTGCTGGGTGGTTGCTTGCCTATAGCTTACAGGCTCGCAGGGATTTTCCCTGGATTTCGGCAAGTGGCCTGAAAGCCTTGATCTAGATTGACTAGGCGCCGAAAAACTGAGATCGGCGTTTATAGAGCGCCTGCTCAGACCCTTCAAAGTAGCTTACAAAATGGGAGATGGCCTGATAAAAGCATGTGTTTGCACCCATTTCCTGAGGGACTTTTAGATCAAAAAGACAAGGAGGGAAAAGCAGAGAAGGCGAACGCTGCGTGAAAAAACCATGCGCAACATGATGAAGCGTGTTGCTTCGCTGAATATCTGGGGCAAGGCGTTACTATGAACCTGAGCAACGGTCGCCCGGATCTTTCCAATCCAGGGCTAGGGCGAAGCCTGCTGGCACGCGTCACGCACCCACACACATTCCACACTACACACACACATGTCCACAGAGGCACACAACTAGCACCGCAACATAGCAACATATTTGCACTATTCTACAAACAATTTTTCTTTCCGGTTACACACCTCTCTTTCTAGCTTTTCTGTCGCGATGGCTTTGTGGTGTGACATCACTGACGAGGTCATGTGGACCCAGGAGGCGAGGCTTCGTGTCATAGCGGAAAAGCGACAGATTGGGTAGGTAAGTCATTTGTCTGACGGCAGGAGCTTGAAAGGATGTTTGGCACGGAGGCTGGGCACTCAGAGCTTTCGGGCCATTGAGTCACGACACCAAAACTGGATGAGGCTTGGGACGAAAACGGTTTCGGGGAGAGTCGCTGACGTGCTCGACTGGGCCACGTTGGACTGGCTACAATCCGGTGTGGAGGCACATTTGGGTTTGCTCGTTGATTTATTGGGCTTGTCATTTACTGAGTACTGAATTTGCTAGCTTGTTTATTCACTTTGTCATTTAGGTTTTGGCTTGCCTGTGGAAGGTCCCAAACGTCACCTGTCGCAGCAAACGAAAAAGAGGCAATGGGCGCGCGCTGCAACCTCAGCCCAAAAAAGTCTGTTGTTCATTGGTGGCAGCCTCGTCCTACTCCAGGTGATTCCATGGTACGCGTACACAGCGTTTTACGAGGCAGGTGCTAGGATGCAATCTTGATGATCCACATTTTGAACCTGTCTACATTCCTTTGTTTGGAGGAGCGGCGCCGCCCAGACAAGAATTGTTTGGTACATAGCCTTCTGGTAGGTCATTCGGCAAGATGACACATGGTGCTTATTTTTGCACAGCGTTCGCGTGCTTTGTGTTTCCCTGCCCTGGTTTTTGAACCCAAGCGCTCTAACTTCTTATTTTCAGCTTTTATGCTCCTGGCCAACCCTTAATTCACGGTTTTTTGGTCCTCTTCATTCTTCACGCGGAAAATCATGAAAATCCTTGCGAACTCATAACGCTCACGAAAAAACTTGTCCGGCCGCATCGGTGGGTTGGCAGTGGATCTTGGAGGTTGGAACCATCCCTCACACCAAGACATTCATCGATCAGTACAAGCTTGGCTTAGGACACCCATTTTTGATGACTGTGGTGGATCTATGGCATCTATGGCTTCGAATCAGAAGCCGAGAGACTGCTCCACCCCACTCCACTTTGAGGAACGGTGGGGAACTCTAGGTTTTGCTCGGTTTGGACATGTTTGGACTGGGTGCAACCACGGTTTTTCTTCGGAAAGAGTGGGGCCATCGGGTCCGGAAAGCCCACTCGGATCGGCCCAGCGCGTGCAAAGGCGACAAAGTGGTGGCGGCCATCCGCATGCAGGCAAGGAAGGGTAGTGATTTAATGAGGTCAAACACCTGCCAGATCCTTCTTGTACACACCTGCCAGCCGGTGGAACTTTGCAGGATGGGTCTTCCATCCAAAGCTGATTTTGGTGCCAGAGAATCAGTTTGGCTTAGAGCCTTATCCTCTAATCCTCCAGTTTTTAACGCCCCTTGCTCCACAACTGAGTTGGGTGTTTGCAAAGGGCCTACGCCAGCCAGGGTTGAAAGCCTTTGTGGCCACCTGATACTGACAACATCGGTGCTTTTCTTTTCCTGATTGTTTTTTATGCTCTTTCTGCTCGTTGCCACCATCATTGAAAGGCATTTGACCCACATCATCCCCATAGGCTAGGGGTTGCATTTTTCACATGGCCCCTTTTTGTCCAAATCTGGGCCACCAACCATGTTGAAGGAACACTTACCAAGAAAGGCTTTCAGGGACGCCATTCCAGGTCATTGGGGTCACTCGGAGTGAACCGGAATTTCCTCACCGACGGCAGGTGAAGGGCGTTCCACCCTTCCGACGGCTGCTGAACATTGCATCTTGGTCTGAAGATTTGCGCAGTCAGAAGTGATGCTGGCGATGAGCTCGTTACTGACTGCGCTAGCTCTGATTGGTGCTCCCAAGTGTCGGGGCTGTCAGCGATGAACACGTCTCCTGCACAGATGGATGAGGTGCCTGTCTTCTTGAAGTTAGTTTGTTTGTGCACAGGTGTCGTCAAGCACTTTGTCGCCAAGCTACCGTCTTTATACTTGAGAGTGGTCTCTTTTTTTGGCTCCAGAGTGGTCTCTTTCGCCTGAACCGCCAGGGGGTGAGATGCTCTGAGTGGGAAGCGTTTGGAACTTGGAGACCCGGACCATTCGACCATCTTGGGATGTTTCCCAAGAGGTCACAGCGCCAGTTCAGGTGATAGTCCAGTCCAGGTGATAGCCAGTTCAGGTGATAGGTCTAGTCTTCCCCCCATTTGCTGCCCATGGGCAAAAAACCCTTCGAGAAGGAGCGGCGGCCACGTCAATTCTGTCAAGTAGAGCTTGGGCAGACATGTTATTTTGCAGCCTCATCAAGGTTCGTTGGGTTTATGTGCCCAGTTTCTGGGGTTCAATAGGGGTCATGGTTCTTTTATGGTGTGGATGATAACGGTCACCAACTGGTAGGTGAGCACCTTGGGACTTTGGCTGCTGTTCCAACCTCGAGAAGATTCTGCCTCCTTGCTCCTGACAAAGCAAGGCCGTTGCTCAGCAGCAAATTCCCAGTGTTAGAATTAGAACACTCTTATATTTTGTCTGTGTGCTTTCCGTTCAGGTGACCGTGCTGGGTGTCTGGGGATCTTGGGTATATGGGAACAGACAGACACACATCAAGGATACCATGAATGAACATCGCATCCCTTTTGACCAGATTGTTTTCAAGGGGGCCACAGGGCCTCTTCCGGGTGGGAAGCCTGAACAGAACAACCTATGTCCGTTGAATGATGGTCCGGAGCTCGTCGATGGTCCGGATGCGAGCGTTTTGTATAGCCCGTATAGCTTCAGATTTTCCTTCACTCTCTCCCTTTCTCTCACTCTGTTCAAACAACCAAGCATGGAACCCAACTGGGTTGGGGCTTCTTCCAGAAGGTTTTCTGTTTGAATGCATTTCTGTGTCCACAATTGGTATGGTTGACGTCTTGACGCCGCTGAGGCTTCATTTGCTGGGGTCGAGGACAGGAAGCTCAACCTGGGGCGGTACGGGCCTACCTGGGCCAGGCCGGGAGCTAAGCCGATGATCCTGACAAAATCCGACAATCCCTGATTCTTCAGGCTCGGGGGGATGTTTTGCTGTTGGCATGCTTCAGGTTAGTTGGCTCCAACCAGAACTTGTGGCGAAGCAGTCTAAGCGTGGTGGGCACTGTTGCCTTTTGGGACCTGTGGCTTTGGCCCGACCTTGGCCCCAAAAGCCCCAAGCCCTTCAAGCTTTGAGCCAAGCAAGAGCTCCTCCTGAACAGTCCCAATTCGATGTCAGGTGGTCTGCTTTCTCCTCATCCTTTTCGCCAAAGCCCTAGTTGCCGTGGCAAGACGTAGATGGACCAAGTTTGAAGGGCGAATCTTCCGCAACAGGGCAGGCACCAAAGTTTGACAATGGTGCCAGGATGCAGCCGCAGACCCGTGTTTGGATTCCTTTCTTTGGCCAGGGGTCAGCATTCTCAACACCCTAAAACCCATTGGCCGAAGAAAAACATGGACGAACGCGTATGGGTCCTACTGATGTCGGAGGTCCAGTTTGGAGCCTGAGGTGTTGATGCTTGGAGCATGGAGCTTCATACTTCGCATGCAGGAAAGGGACCTCGGTCGGGGCCGTTTGCACGGCGCAACGGAGGTCCGGGGATGGAGGGAAGAACTTTGTTTAGTTTTGCTTTGCATCTCCGGTCGGGCGCTGAACATGCGTATCAGCAGCAGCCTGGGATTTCTATCTCCTGATAATCTGTAGATCCAGGTTTGAAGAGGGAACAGCCATTGTTTACATTTGGTTGCCCGCACATCCAGCATCCGCACAGTCTTCCAGCAGAAATACTCAGGTGTACACAAGTCAAATAAGCCAATTGGATCGGTCGTGTGAGCACACTGAACTTGTTGACATCAGCATCAAAGAGCCACAGACCTCAAGATTTCCCTCAGGATTCTAGAAAAGGTTGGATTGTTGTGCACTAGAAGTTCTAGAAGAGACTGGGTGTGTTTCCGTATCCAAATCTGACCCTGAGATCTCGCGTGCTTCCAGGCGTCGTTCTTCGTGCGTGGCGCCTGCCTAGTGTTTAGCACCTCGGGCGCACTTAGATATCCAGATGAGCCACCCAGATTTCGAACAAAAGACCCTATAAAACTCGAAGGGCTAGTCTCCCTCCAATCAGGACCATTTGATATGATTTGGCTTGTAAGTAGCTCTATCTATATATGCATGATCTCATGGGTTTGCTCACATCAAACGCCTCTAGATATCTCCTTTGCCGAGTTGATCGACCGGTCTCAGAGAAAGACCTTTGCTGGAGTTGCACGCTGCTCTCCACGTCGGCATCTCCGGTTGGTTTATATTTTTTGGTCGGGTACACCCGAATGTGATACACATGTTTCAGCAAAACATGGTGGTGATATGTTGAGGCCAGTGTTTCTCTATGTTGAGGCCAACCATCAGAAGATATCTTGTGACTTCTACCCAACCTTCTTTGTCCGGTGGCGAGTTTCTTTTCTTTTCCCGGCAATCCCGCCTGCTCCCAGTCCGAAGCTTGGGTGTTCCGACGACATACAAAGGGAGCACGGAAGTCCGCCGTGCTAAGCTGTGCCGGGACACGCTGAAGTGCTTTGTCAAATCAGTCAGTCCAAGGGTTGAACAGTCAGCTCGATATGGATTATAGCACTCGATACCTTGGGGAATGGAGTTAACCAACTGGTGAGGCATCAAAGGCCCGTGGGGCAACTCCCTGAAGCAGCTCAAGCAGCAAACATGACGTCTTTCCTGGATCAAACTATCGACATTTCTTCATATATATATATATATACAGATATATGTTCTCATCCTCCAAAAAAGGAATGTTTTGAGTTCAGTGCCCTGTGCATCGCCATTTTTGGCATTTGACCATGCTCAGGCATTTTACTACTTATCCTCCTCGTGAGCTATTGTTGGGCTCAGCGCCCCCGGCGCGACTGTGGCACCACGTTCCGTCAGCATTTTGACGTGCAGGAGAGGGCGTAGTCCTGACAACTTTCTTCATGTGTAGATTAGATCAACACCAGTTGTCACGCTGAACACGGGTGCCTCATTTCGGGGCTTTGAGGCAGCTAGATCAGGAATTGCGATCCTTTGACAAGCCTCTGGCGGACACACATGTTGGTCTTAGTGGCTGTGATGCAAAACAGCGGACGGTGAGACGATGTGGCCGACCAAACGGAAGAAGACACGTGCCAGTGCAGGAGCTCTGTGTGGGCACCTACGTCCGTGTCGATGAGGTTGGGCGTTTGGGCTCGAGACGAGCTGACGAGGTGGCATTTTTTGGCACCAGGAACCTTTGATTTTTAGAGCTCCGAGAAGACAGATTTGTTGTAAAGAGGAACGCACTGGTACGGCGAAGTAGAAGGAACAATGCACTTGTTTGTACCGCCAAAACAATTCGCAAAGAAGTGAGCTAGAAAGCCTTTTGCTGACTTTGCAAGAGGTCTTTTCATTGACTGCATCAAACAGGTTTATTTTGCCAGTTCTCGGCAGAAAATTGGGTTAGGCGACCTTCGGGTTGATCGAACATCCGACCATTTGGATGCATCCATCTTTCCCCTGTTTTGGGGTTCTGGCTTGATTTTTAAAGAAGTGGGGCTGCATCCATGAAGCTTGGTGGGTCGGGTGGGTCGCGCGTCTGTTGGAACAACTATTTGGGGTCGTATGCTGGTGGAATTCACTCGCACCCTTCTAGCAGTGGCACAGACCTACCAGATTTGACCGGAAAGGCGTAGGCATAGACGTTCGTGATCTCAAATCTCGTTGCGGCAACTAAGAGACTTTCGTCGCCTGAAGCTGCAACATGATTTTTAAGTAGTCCCAAGCCACCAAGAAAAGCAAGCCTGTAGCCATTCCATGTGCACCCGCTTCTGAACCTGTTTGTCCCTCTGCTGAAAGCATTAACACGAGGGACGGCGGCTGTCTCAGCTTTGCGCCCGGCGGCGGCTGGGGCATTTGCAGCTCTGTTTCGGCTGCTGGGATGAACCAACACAATGACGAGGGAGGAAGTCCTCAAGACCTGCCACGGACCATTGGCACGGTTGTTGTGGGATCACAGTGTTTGTTGTTTGACCCGCTCATTTTGGTGAACTCGAAAGGTGGATCATGTGGTGATGTACAAGGTATACAATCTTCATGGATGGCTGCTGAGGCAGCCAGAATGAGATTCGGAGATCTAATGGGGTGTAAAAGGTTGGGAGGACTTGCAACTCTTCCCCAAACTCAGGACTCGACCGATCTCGCCGAGGCCGCTATCCCAAGGAGGAGCTTCTAGCAGAGCGGCTCCCACCTGGCGCACCCGGCTGTGCGCATGTGCGGCCGCTTTTAGGCGCAGCGGTGCGACCGGAAGGTCTCGTGTATCACCCACATCGAAGAGCAGCCTCACATCGAAGATGTCTTTCGGAAGAAACACGCCCCGGCGGTTTTGATCTTTCTTTTTACGGAGTACCCGTTGGCCCCCGCCAAGCAAAGTTGAGGAGCACGTATTTACGACATGTACAAAGAAAGTATTTCCTAGGCATTAATTTGTAACTTGTCACCACTTTTGATGAATCTAGAGGTTTGCCTCTCTCAAACGAGTTCAGTTAGTTTCTGTATGTTTCTATGAGTGCTTGTCTCATGGTTTGGGTCCTCCGCCAAATGACCAGAGAGCGAACATGAGGCTGAAGAAAAAGAAACCATCGAAAGAGGTTTTACAATCCAAAGATAGAGGTTGCTCTCGGATTCATACGGAGTTTCTTTTTGTATATTTTGTTGTGCATGTATGTGCACCTGCAGTATTGATCGACCTATGCCCTACGCCCGGAGGCTGAGCTTTTTGGCATGTAGCTTATGAGGCCTTCCAACCGCATTTGCGGTAGATGATGGTTGCCCAATCTCTTCTGAGGGTGGCGGTGTCAAACATCATCCAGGTCCTTGTCAACCGACTCCGTGGGTATGTGTGAAGATACGGGCCCAGTTATTGTTACACTCGTTTTGTCAGTTGTTCTTGATGGAGGTGTTTTGGCACCTCTACTCTCTATGAGAGGTTTTGATTATCAGGTTTTTTATTGTTGCACTCTACTCTCTGGGAACTCCAATCTCACGTTGGAACCCAGTCTTCCAATGAGAGAAACCACCGTGCCAGAACCGCCACCAGCGCTGGCGGGTGACTCGCATGAGGCCGGTCGGCGACGCTTGGTTCGTGGGTGGAGGGAAGAAGTCTCAGGTGGGGAACCACTGTAAAGATCTGTAAAGCTCTCCAAAATTGGGGTCCGCTTGCCGCTTGGCATGGGTGGTCAGCCCACAGCCAGCAGAATCAGTTTGTGGGGTAATGGCAATGCCGGGCGAGAAGGGCTGCAAAGTTTCTTTCTGCCTTTCCTGGTGGGGAAGAAGGCCGTTTGCACATTGAGTCGACACTGTGTACTGCAGCAAGGCCAAGTCTTGCGTCCATTTATTCTACACCTTATCCTCAATTTGTTTTCAGACCAACAAGCTTTCTGTGTGACTTATGTGATGGGAACATTTTTTGACTTTGCCATGTTTGTTGATGAGAGGTGCAGAAAGAGGCCATCGAGCAAGACTCTTGGCAGATATGTTTGGTGCAGGTGTTTTTCCAAGTATGGCAGCCCTCAGCCACGGCATTTCAAGCAGCAATGAGGCAATGGAGGGTATATTTATGGGCCCAACTTGTCCAGCAGCTTAGGCACATAGCTTCATGTGTGAGTCACTTTTATAGCCTTCCGGATTCCGGACCGTTGGATTGCTGAATTGTTGTGGTATAGTCTTGTTTGGTTCAACATAACTGCTGTAACATAACCCACCAAACCACCCTATAAGTACACTGTACATTCTTTGAGACCTGGGCGGACCCATCCAGCACCGAAACACATGAGGCTCATGGAAAACACTTTGCACCCCTGGGTGGGCCGAGCTATGGGCAACGCCTTGCTCAGAACAGAAACCGGTGATTTATGTTCACCCCTGCGGAAAATTATCAATAAAACGGCATGCGGAAGAAGTTTTTCGGGATTACTTTTCAGTCGCTAGCTACAATGGCTCAACGAAAGTAAAGCATTTTCCAACTACATTGTTCTTGGTGATTTGCACTCCCTTGCCGCACTCGCTCAAGGAGAGCATCTTCCGACTACAGTTAGATTATACCTCTTCTTTATTTGTCTCCGTGACCACACGAACTGCGAAAACGTCAAATTAACATTCGCTCGACATCACCTACAGGTTAGCGGTGTGCTTTTTGAGGAATAGGCTGTCCCTGGTGCGTTATAGCTCACGTTCTTTTGGTTCCACACAGTTTTGACAAGTGCTCTCTCAACGTGGATGCTGCAACGGGTTTCACTTGCGTCCTTCTTGCAAAACAGGTTTTCATCGTAAAGCTCCAAAGACCTTCTTGGGTTAGGCCTCGTAGATTGACCCTGACAACGTTGCAAGGGAGGGAAGGGGCTGTGGTCGAGCGGCGGGTGTATAAACAGCTTTTCTTCATCGCAAAGGAACCCAATCACCATTCATATACCCTTGATTGTATGCCGCCCTCCCTTCTAGTTAGTCAGTTGTGGGGGGAATTCTTTCTCCGCATCAGCCTCGGTTGCATCAACAGTCAATGAACCATTTGAGGTTCAATGAGATGGTGAGCCGTGCAAAAAAAGGAATTGGTGGTTCATCATGGTTCCACGTCTTCCAGTTACCACCACTCACCACCACTCACCACTCGCCAGCCAGCTCACAAGGAAGGTGGCCTCAACAGTAGCTTCCTCACACGGATTGCTGCCATCTTGGCGGTGCTCTCTCTCGTCGGTGCGGCCTACGACGCTCTCTGGCAGTCGGTGGTCCTTTGTCTCTGGAAAGCTTGGAATACCAAAAGGTGAAACCTGGTCTGTTCTTTTTCCAGACACGTTACCTGCCTCAAGTTTTAGTTGGGAGGACACTTAAGTGAACACTGTGAAAGACACCCAATTGACTTTTGCAACACTACACCCGTGTTATATATCACTCTTTGACAAATTATCGTTGGAGCTCTCTCAATCACGCAGATCTTGGTCGAAGTGTTTTGTTGACGCATCAACCCATGTTGCTCACAGAAATTGGGCAAACCATAGGAGTAGCTTCAACAACAAAACTCTTTACGCACAAACCTTTCCTACGAATGACTTTCAGCCCCTTCAGCTTACATTATCTCAAGACTACCACACCCAACCATACCCTAAGATAACACCCTACGACAGTCGTTTTGACCCCACCTTGGTCCAAGCCTTGAGGATTACACCTCATTTCTGGACAAAGTCCGCATCGATGGGCAGCTGTGTCTCTTCAAGGCTCCGTGTCCGATGGGTCCGATAAACCGGTCGGGTCGGGGATCAACAGCCCTGGAAGCTGCAAACCAGTTCGGAAAAACACGGAAAGCGGAGCAGCGCATCTTTTTTGCTGCAGGGTAGCCAGATCAGGTGTCTGTTTGCCGGTACGACAAAAAAAACGGTCAAAACCACCTTTCATACACTTGTCGGACCTCATTTTTTCATGGCTTTTACGGTGTTTTGCGCACACTACGCAAAAGACCACCTGCCCAAGTCAAACGGCAGAGAAAAAGCAGCAAGTGGACCAACATCGCCGCAAAAAGGTAAAATAACAGCAGCAAAGCCTTCAACATAGCCCTGATCTAGACCCCACGGCCCAATCACTTCCAACATACCTCCACGAGAAGCCTCAAGAGAACCCCAACATTGGGTGAAATGTGCCAATATGGAAAAGGATATGTGCCAAGAATGCACCAAGATCGCTGAAGATTGGCACAAACATGCCCCAAATTTGACCACCCACTGGAGCAAGCTTTCATAAGCAACAAACACGATAAAACAAACGCCCAAAAGCACCTTCCTTACACTTGTCGGACCTCATTTTTTCATGGATTTTACAGTGTTTTATGCACGTTGCCATTCAAAGCCTTTGAATGCCGGATTACAAGAAAAACCTCAAAAATTGCATCCGGTGTAGGTAAATTGCAACTTTATGAAGGCAAATAAGCTCGACACAAACCCACCCAAAGCCCCTTTTTACCGTAAATTACAATGTTTTATGCACCTTCGAACATGCCCCCCCCAAAAAAGAAAACATATGCAGGGTACACATGACCAAAATCCTTTTTAACTTCGCCACGAATTGTACACAAGTTCTTGCCTGACCAGCAAGGCCGCAGAACGGGTAACTTAACGGCACCAAAACCTCAGACATATGCCAACCTAGACCCCACATCCCCAACAGACCCCACAACATGTCTTGTGAACAATGGGTGAACATTGCCAATATGATAAAGGAGATGCCCAGGATAGCCGCAGACTGGCAGCAAAAGACCACCATGGCCTCAAAACAAGTAACCTTACACTTGTCGGACCTAAGTCTGTCATGGTTTTTACAACGTTTTACGCACATTACCCCAAAAGACTACCTGCCCAAGTCAAACGGCAGAGAAAAAGCAGCAAGTGGACCAACATCGCCGCAAAAAGGTAAAATCACAGCAGCAAAGCCTTCAACATACATCCCACGGCCCCCATACCCCCACGAGAAGCCTCAAGAGAAGCCCTAACATTGGGCGAAACGTGCCAACATGGAGAAGGATATGCCCTAAGAATGCACCAAGATCGCCGAAGATTGGCACAAACATGCCCTAAATTTGACCGCCCATTGGAGCAAGCGTTCGTAAACAACAAAAACGACAAAAAAAACATGTCAAAACCACCTTTCATACACTTGTCGGACCTCATTTTTTCATGGCTTTTACGGTGTTTTACGCACACTACGCAAAAGACCACCTGCCCAAGTCAAACGGCAGAGAAAACAAGCAACCTTACACTTGTCGGACCAAAGTCTGTCATGGTACGGCGCGACACCTCGATTAGACACCGGCCCTTAACCCTTACCGTAAAAACCCCTAGTGTGGGGAAAAATAGAAAAGGGCAAAGGGTAGAAGAGCCGAAAAGTGGGAAAAGGTAGATCATGGGGGGGGTGAACATATATGTATATAGATAAATAAGGTAAACGCAAAATAGACACCTTTATTGTCTGAGGACCTGCTGTTAAGTTGTTTGCAGGTGTCTTGGAGTGTTTACGACGGGCGCAAGGGTCGGATTGGGTTTGCGTTGGTTCGACGCGTATGGCATCAGCACGATTTTCCGTTGTGGAACGTGTACCACCCTGTCGTGGAAAGACACCAGATGAAGATGATGTAGTGGGCATGATGCCAAAAGATTTCTTTGAGCCGGTGCGAACGGAAACTCTAACTGCTTGATTCAACCAAATCTGGTGAAATAAAGACACAACATGCAAAACTTGACTGTCAGGGCTTGGAGGGAATCAAGATGATTTCTAGACTATAAAGTGCATGATCAGACACATGAGACTGCTGAGCTCTCACCTTTGACATGATTTTCCCCATTCCATGTGGGCGTTTCGGCGTTTTGTAGCGTCCTCTCCACATGGTCCTCATCCATGTGCCGTTCAGGTGCATGGCTGTAACTGGCGGGTGGAGAACTCCCGGCTCTTAGGGAAGGTGAAACGTGCTGAGGGTGCCAACCCACCGGCAAGCTACGCGGAAGGTCGGAGAGATGAATGGGATGGAGAGCGGCCAAATTTTCACAAACAGTTTCTGAAACCTAGAGGACTTCAGGGGCTCAGAACCCATTTTTTCATGTATCTTGGGCTCAAGGTTCATAGGTTGCATATGAGAGCCACCACGAACATGCCAAGATCGTTCATGGATTGAGAGTTCTTTCCAATGAAGAGAACCTATGTTTTTTGCGGTATGCGTTATATATATACAGTATGTATGTATATATATATATAATGTATTATATATGTGAAGGTCTCTTCTGATCCGTTCGGAGAAGAACATCCTTCCTCAATTTTCATGTTTGGCCAAGGAATAGAGACCCAAAGAAACTGCAGATCCAACTACTCTGGGTGAGGTGGTTGCACTGCCGACGGCGATTACTGCGATTACTTCTTGCGGCCCACGACGCATTGCAACTTGGATGAAGATCGTCGATGGGTTTGGATTCGCAGCTCACAGTCACTGCCGAAGTCAAATTTTTCTAATTCGCCAAGCAGTGTGAACACACTTAGGGGTTCTTACGGTAGTTAGGCAGCTGTGCTTAGATCACTGTGCCACGCGGGCGTGTCCGGCTAATTCGCTGCTATTTACAGTACATTCATGTCTCTTGAACTCGTCGATATGCATTTCGACTGCGCAGGCTCGCGAAATCTGGGTGCAGGCAGGGGCTTGTCGCGACTGCGCTCTCGCTGTGGTGCCGTGCGCATTTTCGTACATGGTGGTCACTTTTCGTGACAGGTGCTAAGGAAACCTCTTTTTTTGTGGTCCAGAGTCAACTTTTCATGACAGGTGCAAGGGATCGGAGCGGCTTTACTTCGGAATGCAGATTTTGTGGCAGGTGGAGCACTTTGGATATGGTGGTGACCTTCGACGCGCTAATTTCGTGACAGGTGCAGCGAAGCGTGACTTTTGGACATGTGGCTCGCTTGCAAACTTCGTGGCAGGCACAGCACTTTGTGAACCTCGAAGTCCAGATTTCAGAGCAGGCACAGCACTTTGTGAGCCTCGAAGTGCAGATTTCGTGGCAGGCACAGCACTTGGTGAACCTCGGCGTGCAGATTTCGTGGCAGGCACAGGACTTTGTGAACCTCGATGTGCAAATTTCGTAGCAGGCGCAGCAGTTCAGATTTCGTAGCAGGCACAGCACTTTGTGAACCTCGAAGGGCAGATTTCGTGGCAGGCACAGCATTTTGTGAACCTCGAAGTGCAAATTTGGTGGCAGGCGCAGCACTTTGTGCTTTCAGATGCTCGCCTCTCGCTCTCACTCACTCTCCGCTCACACTCACACTCACACTCACTCACCCGCTCTGACACTCACACCCACTCTCACTCTCTCACTCTCTCACCTTTTCACTCACACTCACGCTCACGCTCACACACACACACACTCACACTCACTCTCTCACTCGCTCACACTCTCAGTCTCACTCCCACTCACACTCTCTCACTCTCACTCACACTCACTCTGACTCATTCTCACTCACACTCACTCTCACATTCACACTCACTCACAGTCACACTCTCTCTCAGTCACACTCTCTCACTCTCTCACTCTCTCACTCTCTCACACTCTCACTCTCATTCTCACTCTCACTCTCACACTCACACTCTCACTCACACTCACAGACACTCACACTCACAGGCACACTCACCACCACCGCCACCATCACCACGATCTCCACCTTCATCACCACCATCACCTCTCTGGACCCCAATGCGTCTAGATCTCTAGACTTTCTGCTTATAGACCCCACACACACACGGTTTGGGGTCTCTGGCCGGGATATTATTATGTTCGTTTCAGCTAGTGATTGTCAATGGTTTTCAACAGTTCTGCCGAAGCGTGCTTTCTTTCTTCCCTTCTCTTTGCTGCTTATAGAAATTTTTGATTCATGAAGTGCATCCTTCCTGCAACCCAGGATCAGCGTGATTACTAGAAGTGTGCTTAACCTTCATCGCAGGGATGTGTCCGACCTGGAATTCTTATTCCATTTGTTGGCGAGTTCAGGTTGTGATGATACTGATGCAATCATATGAACAGCAAAGCAACGCCTCTCGAAGAACCCTATTGGTTCCAATCAAAAGTCTCAGTTCGTACTGTGGGATTTGGATGGAATTTGTGCGGTTTGGGTCTTTCCGCGTGGACACGTGCTCCCAAATTTTGACCAGAGAGATTCGTTTTGTGGACAGGCCCAACTTCATCTCTCTCCAGTCAGGGGTTCCATTCCATGAGGCGTTAACTTCCTTAGAGTCTTCTTTCAGAACCCTGATGCACGCCAGCAAGCTTGAAGAACCAGTCATTCAGTTCCTCCCAAGCTTCAGTCTCTGTGAAAAACGCTTAGTCAGAACATGCAAGGACATCTCAAACTTTCCAGTGTCAACTCTCTCAACTCCGGCTCAATTCAAGCCAGCTTTCTCAAGGGCTCCCCTTTTTTCTCAGAATGACCAGCCGCACCTAATCATAATCATAATCCCCATCCCCTCGGTGACCGATGTCCGGACCGATGAACGATGTCCGTTCCAAGGCTCGGAGAAAGGTGAGGCTTTCACGAACGATGTCACGGCCATCCACGTACGTCGCGCGGTCTCTTCAGAGACCTTGCTGGTGACCCAAATTCTTTGGAAGACCACCAGGCCTTTCAGAAAGGATGCAGTTTCTCAAAAATTTTCCGCCTTCACATAAAGACTTAGTGTGGAGCAGCATCAATCTCGAAGCGACAGTCACTCACGAGTTTGGACTGATCTTCGGATCGGTCGTTTCCTCTCGTGCGTGGTCCACGCAGTCCCTGTGTGGTGTTTTCAGAAAGCAATCTGGGGATGGATCGTGACCCACCTGGAGCCCGACCAGTCCACCGTGTAGCGAACGACCGACACCAGGTAGGTCCACCAAGGTCTCGGGGTTTCGACCGCAATCTGAGGCCTGGAATGTAAAGTCCTTCCAGATCTCGCTGAAGCGACGAAAAGGGTGACCTACGTGAACCCCTACGAAGGCACCGGCCAGGCAACTGGGCCAACTGGAATTCACAAGACATGGCAGGGGCGAAGTTAATAGACTAGGGGCAGGTAACGGTACAGTAGAATCGAGTTGAGTCCAAGAGCATAGGAAAAGAGAGTAAGGGGAGTTACTGTAGCATCTACAAGCATCAAAGTCAAGCAGAGATTTCAATGGATGGAGCTATGAACGATCTGAAGGGCGGTGCATGCAGACGATTGGACTCTGAATTTGGTTTTCTCCACAGAGCTCGTATTGAATCCATTGTGCTCAGGTGCACACCATGTTCTTGATTCAGCACGACCTCACTGTTTGGTCCATGCCCTTCGATGAGACCTCCACCAACTGGAACAAGGCGCAGCTGTTCAGCAAAGCGTCGAGTTTGATCATGGAGCCTGTTTGTTCTCAGGCTGGTGGGGTTAGGGGTTTGTTATGCCATTTTGAATTGGGATGAGTTTTGTGGGATCTCACCACCAGGCTTTTGTCATGAGGAAAAGTATCTTTGTTTCGCTCCTTGTGGGATATCCTCTTGCATTTTAGAAAGGTGAGGGGCGGTGATGCCATCGGCGGATGCAGCATGGGCCGCAGATCCCACGGGAGACGAGGCTTGCGGCTACAGATCGAGACGGTGGTTTCTTCGATGCTACCGAACCCGGCGATTCCCACTCTATCTGGCCATGGGGTGCCATTCTATTTTGGCCAAATCTTGGCTTCCTAGTTGGTTTGTGAAGCACTCCATTGCTCCAAATTGGGCTGTTCTCAGGTGCTGCTCACGCAGGGTATGCGCATCGTGCAGATTGGGCCTGAGGACTCTGAAGCGGGATCCAGGGAGGGGGGGGGCCCTTCAGAGGATTTGTCATTCTCAAATCCTTTTTGTGTCACACGTAGCCGGTGAAGCAACAGTGAGATTCTGACATTCTGTTCAGCTGATTTTGTAACACCACCGAAGCAAAAAGGGAACAATTTTGCAACTCGTGAGAATTCAATCTCTTCACGCGAAGAACCATCGAAGGTTCTTCCCTGCTTTTGTTGATGTATATAAAAGCTTGACTCTCCATGGTACAGGCCTGGCTGGCGACTTGCCAGGGGCTAGCGCCCTCCAAGAAAGCGATATCTTCCACCTAGATGTTCCAAATCAATCCACCAGATATCCGATATCCATGAACTCTTGAAGTTTTCGTTGCTTTCATCGTAGCAACGTGTTCGGTCTTTCGGTAGAACGATCACCCGGGCCTTGAGAGGCTCCATTCGGTCCGACGAGCGACCCCGGGAGCTTGAGTCATTTTTTTGGGACCTACGGAGCCATGAGAGTTGGTGAATCTCTCCCTCCCTCTCTCTCCCTATCTCTCTCTATATACAGTCTACTGTATATTATATATAACTATATGTATAGACACACAGGCCTGTCCTTCTTGTGGTGGTGTAGGAGTTTCTTCCCTTTACTCGCACGGGCCATTTTGGCCTTAAGATGGCTCTTTTCAAGGACTCCCGTGAAAACCAGAACCTTCAGCGGGGTGTGGCGCTTCATCCAGTGGAGCTGCCACTCGGTGCACCCGGTGTTTCGTTGGTCCAGGTCATGGATTGGTCTTATGCGCTGAGACTTTTTTGGTCCACAAGGGCGTCAAACACAGCTTTGGTTTTGTTGAACATGGTCAAATAGAGGCAACATCCACTATTCAACAGGTCTGCGGATGTGGTTGATAGAAGTATCTCTCCTCATCATCCTGCGCTGAAATACCATAGTTTCCATACGCAAAGACTACATTTGGCACAGCAAGGGCAACACCCACATCATGTGCGAACGCAGTTGTTCAGATCCGATTCACTGGAGAGTGAGACAAGTATGGTTCAGCACAAATACTAATGCTAGGATCTTCCTACTGTGCAAAATGTGTGCTTTTTGGCTGGTTCATGGATGAAAAGGCAGAGGAGATTATCCACAGTTGTAAGGTATGGATAAAGTCGAGTTCCGCAACTGCGCAGGATTCCGCAACTAGGATTCCGCAACTGTTTGGTCGGATTCCGCAACTGGGATTCCGCAACTGGGATTCCGAAACTAGGATTCCGCAACTAGGATTCCGCAACTAGAGTTCCGCAACTAGGATTCCGCAACTAGGATTCCGAAACTGGCACCCCAGAATATTGTCATCGTTTTGAGAGGCTTACGCGTAGTTTTGACCTTTCAAGGCCTTTTCAAGAAATGAATGGCATGTGCGGCATATGATTTCACTAGATTGTTCACTAACAGATATCATTCTTTTTGATTTGGCAAATCAAAGCCGCGCCCTCAAGGAAACATGGGGCACTCCTTTCGGATCAACTCTGACCGTCCAGGCTTTTGGTCTTGGGATATAAGGTACCGGTGACCGACCAGCTCTTCTCATCAAAAGCACCGTTTGGTTTGGACCTTGAGCTTTCATTAACAACAGCTCTGTGAATTCTATTCGGGGTCCGTTGCAACAGTCAAGTCAAGCCATGATTTTGTGCCAACAAGCTCTCATCACTGAGATTCAGGGGTTCAAGAAATGTCAGGGACCTTTGACAAAGTTCTAGAATCCTTTGGACAGGGAGATAATTTTCTCAACCTTTCCTAAACACTCCCATGAGCTGAACCTACGTTGGCTGAACCAACAGCACTCCCGCTGGGAACGATCGACTCGAAACAAAGTGGGCAACGATCGTTGGAGAGCCACCCAGGCTGGAGCGATGCATTGGAGAGTATCGAGGGCATGTGGACGTGGCGCTGGTCGAAACCCAAGACTTGGTGCCCATGTGACTTGACTTGAAGGAAGTACAAGTGACTTGACCTTTCTTTCCTTTCGAAGATGTGAAGAATTGCAACAATCGACTTGCTGCAAGTGTGGTGATTGACTTCTAGCATGGTGGCCCTTTCCGGTCCGGTGTGTTGAAGATAGCGAGGCAAGCGGTTGGCTGTTTCCTCGAAATAGGCAAATAGGGGGTTCCCTTCCTTCCTTCCTTCCTTCCTTCCTTCCTTCCTTCCTTCCTTCTCCTTGTGGGTTGACGTTGCATCCCGTTGTGGGCTAACGGACGCCACACCTGTGCTGGCTGAATTTTGCATGTTGCATATGATTCTCGCATTTTCTTTTTATTGGACTTCCTAAGCTTTTGTCGATGCCCCCGGTTCGGAAGGGAAGTATTCTCTCAGACTCTCAGGTTCAAGGAGGATTGCCAAGAGCTTCAGGCAGGATTCGTGATCCGAGGGTAACACCGGTGTGGTTAAGAGCTAAAGAGAGCAACCCAGAAAGATCGTGGAGTAGAATACAAAGGATACCTCAATGTGTTCCAAGGCTTGTGTGACGCTGGCCAAAATCAGGACATTGCGTTGCAATGAGTAGGTTGAATTGTCGTTCATGGTCCCAAGCTCTGACCACTTGCACTAACCATAGACACATGGCATCAGCCCAGAGGATTGGTGAAACGGTGGATGGAGCCCTCACTGTGATCTCCCGTGGCTTCATAGCACTAGCAAGTAGCCTAACTGGGCCTAGCTGCCGACCCCACAGGAGGCCTGCAAAGCTGAAGGTCTGGGGCCTGCTGCTTGGTGCTGAAATTCAGAGAACGAAAACGATGAGCGCATGAACACGATGCGCGTCTCATGGGTGGATCGCACAAGTTTGCAACGGTTTCCACTTTTTGACTCGCACAGAGTGGGCACTTTTGACCCGCAGAGGCCCTGTCTGAACTTCCCAGAATCTCGTTTGTGGAGCCATTGACCAGTTCACTTCCCTCCTCAAGCTAGATTTGAGAGCCACATGCAGGGGATGAGCCCCGACGGTTTTGTATTGGTCAGACTAACACCTGTTGATCAAGCCATGGGACATTCAGATTGACCAGAGTTTCGATGCCACGATGCTCTTTTTCTGGGATTTAATCCTGAACGGTATTCGATCCTGGAACCTGCCTGTAGCCAAAGGAGGCTGTTGTACGTGAGCACAGTCTGAGCACTGATGCTTTGAGCTTCAGACTTAAGGAAACGAACGGCTATTGGCCGCCACATCGGATCTTCGACCACAGTTTCTAGGCCGGCGTCGTTACGTCGTTCACATTCACAGAAACTGGGCAGTGGCTTTGGATGGTTTTGGTACCCCAAAGCATGGCACGAACGGCTTTGATGGGGTGGGGTTGACCGGATTTTCGGAGATGAGGTTAGTCTTGGGGTGCCCGGTTGAATGTGGGAAGACCTCACTGACCTCTCGGCAGAAACACCTCGAGCCAATGGAGAAGGGAGCCAACCGATAGAAGTCGACCTCCCTTCCATTTTGTTCATTTTGCGACTCAACCAGGGCCCCTAGTTGTGACCCGCAAAATTCAGGGACCTGCAACGAGGAATACGAGGAAAACACATTTTCTGTGTTGGTTCTTGGGTTGTATTCTGGGCTAGTGGTCGATTTGGGGCACACTGTTTCCCTAGTGTATTATGGGAAGTTCTTATGTCACTGACAGCCCTGTGGAATATGAGTGCATACCCGTTGTTAGAGCAGGAATCGAACACCTTTCTGACTTGGTTGGTTGACAAATCTTGTTGCTACATCATTGTTTCAAAAAGTTCTGAGAGGTCCTACCGAGTCCTACCGTATCCTACCATCCATTCCTAGTAGGTTGGAGGCCATTGCTACTAGAGTGGGAACCATCGCTACTAGGGTGGGGGCCATCGCTATTAGGTTCCTTTTGTTAGGTTGGAGGCCATTCCAGAGCGATTCACAAGTTCTGGCTCCCATGAAGCCACTGTCGCGTGGTACTGAAGGATTCGCCCATAGATGGCGCTCAGGAGTTTTCATCCACCAGTTCCAAGAATATGGAACGGTGGAAGCTGATTGAAAGGGGGTCTTTAGGGAGAATGGCTCAGAAAATGGTGCACCCTCTCTCCGACAGGAAGTGGACAAACAGGTACTACCAAAGCGAGCGCTTCCTTGAAGAAGCGTGAGCTATCCTGCCTAGTAGCCTAGAAGCTAACTTAGCCTAGTAGCTTACTCCCTTCACTTGTATAAGTAGGAACACTTATCCCTCCATTTCCATCTACCGGTGAAAAGGCCAAAATGCAATCCACTTGTTATCCCCTATATATAAGTACAGAAGCTACTAGGAACAAGGGCATCGCTTCTAGTAACAAGTGCCTTACTAGTAGTAACAAGGACGCTACTAGTAACAAGAAGCTAGGAGTCGATACGATCTCGCCGTTTTCGATGTTTTCTTCGGCGGCTCGATCTCGCCTTCGCCTCCGGTGAGTCGGGCTGTCTAAGGCTACGAGAAGACGATCTGCGTCTACCGATCCTTAAAGCTTCCCCTGTGGTGCCTGGGCACTGAAAGCAGAGACCCAGAGAAGGTTTGATGAAATTGTTCACATTGGTCGAGAACTCCTGACTCCTGGCTTTCCTACAGGAACATGTCGAGGATACCCATTTGACACACCTGTGTACTTCTCTGTGCCTACAACAATCAACACATTGATGAAGAACATTTCACACCACTTTAGACCAGATTTTTGAGAGATTGGGTCGGGTATCCCTCCAGTGTTTTGGAATCGTAACTGGGCGGTCGAAACATAATCACTCCCTTTAAAACTTGGTTGATCTTTTGGTACGATGGCAGAGTTGAGGGGCCTAAGATGCCAAATACCCTGCCCCCAAAACGACAAGCAGAGGATTCATTCTGCAGAGGGACATCATCTTGACCACCGGAAGGAATGCTTCTATTGACACAGATTGAAGCACATTACCAGTTACCCACTGTATAGATGGCCTCAGAATGCTCACCAGATGGCGGCTTCATGGCATTCCTTGACGGAAACCACCAAGCAATCCAACGCTTGGGCCGCTTGGGTGGTTCCTTGTGGATGAAGTCGGCCAACGACCATACCTGCCCTCCAGCAAGAGCCGCCACCATTTCGCTGCCAGTCAAGTACTTCGAAGCAATCCTGCGCCATCTGAGACCTTCAAAAGACAATCAAACAAACATATACATATGTATAATTATGTGCAAAACCAAAAAAAACACACACACACATATATATATATACATACACATGTATGATACAATCCTGACAGTCTGACACTCTGTTCCCGAACATCAGAACAAGGAGGGAAGGATAGTCCCGCTCGGCGAACATGCGAGGCTGGGCAAGGTCTGGAACGTCTTGGAGCAAGGCGAGCGTGGCCTCACCTGTCGCGGTGAACCCAAGAAGCGCTCCTAAGCTCAGAAAGCAGCAGTGAAACTGGAAAGCATGAGGCATGCCAGGTATCTATGGCATCTATGAGATCCTGTATGGATCTCAGAAGCAGGAACAAGTACTGCAGGTTGCATGTTATGGGGACCAAAAGGCAGTATTGTCGTCGACATGGCCGAGAAGCTCTGACCTGCGAAGCATTCATTCTGCTTATGATGGGAAGGATGTTTTGTGGATGTTCGATTGACAAGCTGATACTGTTCTTTACATTGCTTGTAGCTGTTCTTGGAAGTGAATACCGGCGAATCTGGCTTAACACACTCTCTGGATCCAAGGAATCCATTTTGATCACGTGAATGACTCCATTGTGACGGAGAGAGTGGAGACGTGCTGGGAGCCCGAGAGTGAACGGATGGCAGTGTTTCTTCCCATTTTTCAGGGATTGGTATTTTCTTTTTGCATTTCTTTAGGACAGTCTATGAAGCGTTTTGGTGGTTCGGCTCTTTTTGTTTCTGGACAGGACAATTATGTCACCTGTGGCCTTTGGATACGAAAAAGATCTGGGTGATTTGGGCACCCTGGGTTTGTCTTAGGGTTGCCCTTGTTTAGAGGTGCATCAGCCCATCACATGTCTATCAAGAAACCTGCTAGCAGACGAAGGTTCTTTTGGAGGAGGTCGTCCAGTTCTCACCCAATTTAATGTCTAGAAATTGAGGCCTGAGAGCCCGAGGGCGCTCAGTTAACGGCGACTTCCCAAACTAACACGTCAAGGGGTGTTTAGCTTCATTTTCTCAGCATGTGCGCTTTCAGGCTTAACCAAAGGCACAATCACTACTTGAGATTCTTTTCCGGTCAGTTGTTTGGTTGGACACCCACCCTGGTTGTTGGTCCGATACTTTGCTCAATGTCGCTGGGTGTGGGCCCGAGGCAAAAATGCTTGCGCACGAGAAGCTTGGCTCAAAGAAGATTGACAGGGGGGAGGCAGGTGCACAAAAGCGACCGGTTCGGACCTGCGCTGCTGTCTCAGATGTTGGGTTCGTCATCACTTCCTTTGAACACATGTATAGAATTGGGGTCCTCTTTCACACTGCTGCACCGACACGCACTCTTCTGCATGAGTGTTTCTATCAATACACACCAAAGAATTCCTCGAATGCTCGATGTTGCCTCAAGTTTTGTACGGTTTTTCAAAGGAAGCTTCTAGTTACTAGAAAGCTTTATTGTTACTAGTAGCGAGGGCCTCCGCCTAGTAGTTTCTCGTCACTAGAAAGATAATTCCTATATATATATATATTGTCAGACTTTCATCCAATTCGCCCTTGCAACTCTCACGGTTTGTGCTGAAGTTTGGATTGGAAGGTTGGGACCGTAGTTTCATCCGCCATCCTCAGGAGCCCTGGTGTACACACGTCTTCTACAAGGGGGAGGCATTTGTAACTCGAATGCGGTGGGCAAAGCAAACACCCAATGTTTGGCATTTAACTCAGGCAGCACAGTTTTACCAAACAAGCAAAGTGTGAAGCCTTTTCAGAAGAGACTAGAGGTGCTTCACCTTGCTCACAAGTAAGCTCCTTGCAGTACAAGTAATTCTTGCTTTTCTTGTTCAACAAAAAGATCCTGCAGGGGGAGTGGTGAAGCCAAGTTACAGAAATGCCGCCATGCCGCTCTGGTTTCTCAGGAAAAGAATTGTTGGCTGCTCCTTCATTCCTTGAGTACCAATCTTTATGTGTGTTTTCCTCCAACTCTTGCTTTTCTCTTAGCTTTTCATTGCCAGCTAATGGAGAGCTGATCTCTCCTAGCAGAGCTGATCCCAAATCGGTCAGACTCGGCTCCCTCCATCACCCTTGATCACGTGCGCCCCCGTGGCCCTCAGAAGTTGAAGGTCGATGACCACCACAAGCATTTCATGGTTTTTCATATTCGATCAAACGTTCAACCGTTGAAACACCCTCCGCATGTCACGAAAGGCCCGGACGATCTACGGTTTTTCTCCGACCGGAACCCGCAGGTGCCGGAGGCCTTTCGGACGGACTTCGACTTCTTACCGGACGAGGTGAAGGAGAAGCTCAGGCACTCCGGTAAGAAGTGGTGCGGAGCGAAGTTCTTTGGTGCGGAACGGGGGTGAGGACATACACGGAAAGACTCCGCCTCGCGTTTGAATGCAAGCTGGGTGGGTGATACTCAACCCACTCTCATTGTTTTCGACTTGAAGAACCCTTCGCTCTGTTGGCAACTCGAGACATCGGAGAACCACTCGAGACATCGGCCCAGTCCTCCAGTCCTCAGGCCACCTGAAGAGAAGGATGGCGGTATATAGAGAGGGGATGGGTCGTGACCCACCTGGAGCACGAGCAGTCCACCATGTAGCGCAAGAGGCTTCCAGAAAGGCCAAGCAAGGTCCCTGGTGCCATGACCCAGCGCCCATTGGGAGTAGTTGGACATTCTCCACAAGGGTTGTGTGCAAGGGAAACTGAGGACACCGGAGAAGCGATCGTGCCATGCACTTCGCAGACAGAGAAGCTTCACAGTCTGGTATGCCAGGGCCGTTCCACTAATTTGTGCCCTGACTCATGATGAGTCCTCATGGTCAATCTTCTCCTTAGTCTTAGTGTCTGTGCTTTCGATAGAACACGTGCACGCGCACCAGCAGGTTTAACCAATGAAAGCGCACGAATCCCGCACAGTCTCTCGTTCCACGGCTGAAATCGCAGGTTGTAGCAAGGTTTGTCTGCAAGTCCTGCTAGAACACCGTAGTTGATACATTGAGTGACTCGATGCACCCAAGAAGGGTGTTCTGGGATATCCATCGCCCAATAGTGGAGGTGTTGATGGATATCCCAGTGATGGCAGGACTGAGTCGTTCTTTTTCCACACGAGCTGCAGCAAAGTGATGCGGTCAGCCTAGAAGCTGAAAAGATACCTGAGAAGTGCTGAGAAGTGCAGAATGAGAACAGATAGAGACGTGACCGAACACAACCAGCAACCGCCAACCGAATAAAAGAACAACGACACACAACAAAACAAATCAAAAGCCATAGACACAGGGTCATCCTGTGATCCACCAGTTGTGTGAAAAGCTACAAAAGCCTGTGTGCTTCGACAGAAATGTCGGCTACGTAGCTACGCTCAACGCGTGCCCAAAATTACTGGGTGAGACCAAAGGCAATTGAGCCCAAGGGCACACTTGTGTAGTAGCTCCTGAGGAACAAGAAGCTACTAGTAACAAAGGGCATCGCTACTAGGAGCAAGGACGCTACTAGTAGCTCCTGGCATTACTACCAGGAGCAAGGGCGCTACTAGGTGGAGGCCATCGCAGTAGGAACAAACATGCATGGCCACTCTCCGCACTCACGACTCAGCCTGTCCCCCGAATGAGGTTTCCCAGAACGCTACATACATACTCCGTCTCCCGATACAGTAGGGGAAGATGTGGAATCGCCAGAATCACACAAAGCGACATTGGTGAACCCAGCTTTTTGGACGAAGCACTCCTATTCGGTGAGAATGACACAGGGATTTTGGGTGCCCAGAGGCTGCTTTTGCCCATGCGGCTGGCTGTCGCCAGGGTCCACAATTCCTCGCGGTCCTCCATCTACGAATGCCTGCTCTATGAGCTGGGAGCCCCTTTTTTCTGTGAGGACGGTGGACGCTATTGGATATCTTTGTGACTCATACAGAAAAAAGAAAAGGATGGTCTAGGTACCCGACGGGGTGGACAACGACCGAGCAATAGCGAATCTCGTTTGCAGCTGCATGTATGTTTTCAGTCGTGGCTCGTTGAGCTTGGCTATCTTAGCTTTGGAAGAGTCCTCATGACTAAGGACTTGCCCAGTCGCCAACTTGAGCAATTCCCAGGAGGACCACCACCTGTGAAACATGAACAAAACACCACGGTGTGGTCAAGCGCTTTGCGGCAATCACACATGTGGCAGGTAGTTTGCGCATGATCGTTGCTTAAAGCAACAAGTTCACAAGCTGTCATTCAACCATTGGGCAAGACCAGCAGTGAGCTCAAGAGCCAGCTCACAATATGGATGGTCAAGACCAAGACCTGCATCCCCAACCCTGACCCACCAAATCAGACCATTTGGATCCATTTGCTTCATATTTCATGGGTCGATCGAACCTGGGCCGGTTCCCCACCCATGCGAGGACCACTTCGTCCCAGTACGCTGTGGCGAAGACTGCGGAGAGGACAATCAGCGCTGCATGATGGTGAGGCCTGATGATGTCAGACGTTGACCTACTGAGAAAAGCATGGGCAAGACAGGTGTGGGTCAGAAGCCAAGAATGCAAAAGTCTTGAGCTGACAAAGCTGATATAGTTTTGAAGGAATATGAGAAATTGAGGACATAGTTGTTGTTTTTTTTTTCCAAAATTATTGGCATCTTTGGCATCTTTGGCAAGTGTTTGCCTGGCAGCTTCAAAAGGCAACATGTTCGCAGGTCTTTGACCTGCAAGAAGCCCCTATGGACCTTGCGCCGTTCCGTCCACGCTGGAAACCACTCGGAGCGCCTCCGGTCCGGACAAAACGGGAGAGATCCGAAGCTCAAGCGCTGAGTGGCTTCCGATCGTTCCGATCTTCCAGGCAGGGCTACCTACGAGCTCATGCAGATCGTTTCCTGGGTGGCCGTGACGGGTGTCAGCGGACCTGCTCTGAGGCTGCCCAGGAGAGATGGACGGGGGGAGATTTGAGGCCTCCAAGAGGTGTCCCAGCAAGGAAAACAACTCTCTGAAGATCTGGATGATTGATGGGCATTTGTTTGGGCCTTCAGTTTCCCTGGAAAACGTGAAGCAGGTGTTAACCTTCAGTGGTGGTGTTAAACTCGACTCCTAGGGCCTAGTGCCAAGCAACGCTTTTGGATCTTGGCCATCTTCTAGCAGAAGATATTGACGAGCGAAGCGCTTTTCGATGTTGCGGGCAAGCTTCAAGAACCAATCGTTGAGTCAAAGAAGGAATCTCTTGCGGAAAAACATACCAAGACCGAGACACATCTTTTTGCCGTGGGCTGCCGATCTATGAGCCGAAAAGAGGATGAGGCTGACAAACTCTGATATAGTGTATGGAAACCTGAGTGGCCTCTAACTTGGAGAAGCAACCACACCAAATATGGTCTTGTCCTTTCAAGATCCGGCCATTTGGGGTCATCTGGTGCATGGTGCAGCATGCTACGCAGGACGTGGCGCAGTGCAACGCCTTTGTCTATTCGCCGGCAAACCATGGCACCTGCACCGTCTACGGACCAGAACCCTTCTTGAGGCACAATGAGGATTAGGTTGGTTTGGACCTGAAGTCACCAGATGAAGCATAACGGTTTGGGTCAGACCGCGACAACATGTGGAAGCGCCTTGTGGCACAGTTGGACATGTTTGCCATGGCCATGCCAGGCCCTTTGAGGGATGGAAGACCTTAGATGTGAGGGCCTCGGAATGTGAAGATCCCACATCCTGCCGGAGGGACTTCAGGGTGACCCACTGGTGACGGACTGACTTATACAATCCTTTTGTTAACTGGTAGCATGCTAGAAGAATGCTCTGGGGGCGTCATGGACCGTGCTTGACTCCAACAGCTTGGTATTCGTTGTGACATGTTGACATAGTGGGATGAAGACTCAAACAAAGGGGCACCCAGTTCACCATGAATCTTTTATGCAACACTGGCTTGTTGAAATCTGTGGTCGACTCCAGCGTGATGCACAGAATACACACCAGAGAGATTATGTGTATGTCAATTAATGCAGCTTTCTCACCACCCGGATTCTCAATGTAGCATCATTGCAACTCATTTGCTTCAAACATCTTTGGGCACAAGGATTTCAGCGGCTGACCCCGATGTAGTTGAGCCAGTTTGCTGGTTGTTTCTCAGGTCAAGGCACACAGGTCCTTCAGCATGCAAGAGTAGTGTGAAACCGAAGCGCCCCCATTTTCAGGGCTTCCCAGGATAGACGTGCATGCTGCATGAATGTGGAGCGATACATTTTTGTAGAACACGTATCTAAGTCTCGCGCTACAGAGCAGGGCAAACAGCGTGGAGCATCGGCTGATTTTCGATATTTGTCATGCCATGCAACCTGAGGGCATTCTTCTTTGCTAACCCTTGCCATCGTCTTGCCTCCTACACCTGTCACCTGTCACCATCCCGGCACTGGGTGCGGACCTCAAAACCATGGCAGGTCCTTGGCGTTCCGAACCGCCCAGCCCGGCGTGGAAACCGGCCGCCGGCTTCCCTTCCTTCCTCTGCGGGGCGCCTCCGTGCCGTTTCTCCGTGTGCCTTGTTTCGGTGTGGCGCGATGAGGTCAACTACTTAGGTGCCGTGGGGAGCACGACCGACACGGATTGCCTGGGCCTCGTCAAGTGCAGCTGACACGGCGAACCACCAAATTGAAAGGGGTGGTATGTGAGACACCGGAAAACTGCAATGAATGAGACACAGGTGAGACACCGGGTGTACGGCCCGTGGATTTCATTGCTCTAGTTGGAGCCAAGGGTCGAGAAGATTCTTCTGGAAGATGCGTTTAGTTGGAGTGAAGACAGCGGCTTTGCCACCAAGTTCATGCTTGTGTGCCAAATGACACCGACAGACAGAACCGCGGTCGTCGTTTTCCTTCCCTAAAAAGCGACCACCGAAGACCGAAGGGTCCTGTTCTTGGCGGGATAGGAATGACTGCCATGACCGGCATTCCAGGCCTGAGATCTCCGGATGGAACAGTCACGTCTCCCCGGTGATTACAACACATTGTGGCCCGAGATTTATGAAAAGCAAGCAGAGATGCAAAGGACCTGCCGGCCAATTTGGCATGTTTTCAATTCACTGTTTCTTTTCTAGCATGGACCAAGTATATAGCCGTATTTCTGAATCGTCTACGGATCAACGTTTATCCTAGATTTGATTGGACCTTCTCATCTATTCGTTCGGTACGCCCCCCTTGCGCTGAACACATCGTGCTTCAGCGTGCATGGGCGAGGCTACGCGAGATCTACAGACCCCTTCCACCTAGGCGACGTTGGTGGGTGAGGAGCATGGGGCTAAATATGGCTAAATGATATGTGGTAGTTCAAACTTTGGTGTACCAGGCCATAGGTCATAACTGAAGCACACAGCACACAATTTTGTAAGGCCCACTGGGGCCGGGTCCGTTGAGCCCGTTGGCCCGTCAGGCCCGTTGAGAGTCCGTCGGCCCGTCAGGCCCGTTGGGCCCGTTGATGGCCCGTCACTCGTGAGACCCCATATCTATCAAAGTGTTCAATCTAGGTAGCCCCACTGTCGCGAGGATTATGCCTTCACCTGCCAGAAGATGCCTTCCGATGGGTAAAGCAAAAAATGTAGGAGTGAAGAAATCTATGGACCATGCGGGTCACAGACTGTGGAGCAGTTGGCAGCTCGCGCCAGTCCCCACCACCATGTCTAAGCTCGGTCGTTGCTTCTACATCCATGAGATTCTGGATGCGAGGAAGAGAGCTTGGGCGCCGGCGGGGAGATCGCTAAGCCCGAATGTGAGACCTCGCGTCTTCAAACACCACTTGTGCGCACCTGTGGAAGGTGACCGAGACATAGCTTGCTTGACATGGGTCATGTGCGCATTGATCGCCACAGGCCTAGAGGTGGTAAGGGCACACAGCAGTTCTGGGTGCTTTCAAAGGCTGTTATGACGGCTAGAAATACCGAAAAGAATGTTTCTATCATTGCCGCCTCTTTGACTTGCACTCCGGTGGAACAGAAACTGCTTTGCTTCGTACTGCAGTTTGCGCAGTCCTATAGTGGATCTGTTTGAAAGTAGCTCCGTCTTCACTGAGAATTTGCTGGTTGGAGATCTTCTACGTCTCTGTCCCAATCAGGTGGCGATTGCGCAAGGCGTCGTGGCTACAGTCGAGTTGATTATTCTGAGGCAGGGCCCCGATGGTAGCGATTTTCCGAAAGCCCAGTTTTCAGAGCGCGCTGCAAAATTTGAACAAAAAATTTGAACAAAGTCAAGAGGTGATGAGTGCGTATCTTGCCGGGGCGCAGGATTTGGGCACAGGCAGCAGAGGCCAAGAGGAAGCGGCGACCTTTGATGCGTTTGTTGCGCTCGTTGGGGCAAGCGCTATAGCCACGCCAAAGTGCCAAGGTTGCTTGGCCGGCTTTGGCAATGGGTTTGATGTGATGCCACGCTTCCTTCTTGTCCGGTTTGGCCCTATGTTTCGCACAATCGTTTTTTGGACAAAGGTGCTCGACCAGCTTTTCGCTCTCTGGGCTCCTGGGCTACGCAGACACGTGACAAATTGGCAACTGAGAAGAAGCAAAAAGCGCCGCAATAATAGATTGCCGGCTGCCCGCGACATTGGAGTTTTAGGTCCAACTGGTGGGACTTAGTTAGTCCACCCTGTTGGACTTAAGAACGAAGGGTTAGCAACAATTTTGATGTGAAGCCGCGGGTTTTAACTTGCGTTGCTTCAGCAGCGGTGATCTTTCTTGCAAAATGGCATGGACGCAACGTTCCAGAGGTTCTTTCAAGTGCTACGATTTTTGAATCTGTAACTTACAGGGCCGCTCAAAGTATGTTCTCTCCCGGACACCGCTCGCGTTTCTTTTTGCATTTTCTGACTTCGCACAAGTTATGAACAAATATGGGTTCTGCGACACATGTCTACGGACCGTTAGGCCCATCATGTTTTAGATTCAACGCAGTCAGTTGGATTATAAAGCCTGCTATTGGAGAATAATGGAAGAAGTGGGTGGACCAAAGGTAGGAAATACGTGTTGAAAGCTACCCATGAGAGGGCGCTGGGGAATGTAATGGTGACCGCAAGAGCCTGACAAACCTTGTCACCAGAGTGAAAAAGAGATGAGCTGCTGCGAAGGAAAGCTCCAGGTTTTGCTGGGATAGATGCAGATGCAGATTTATTGGGGTTGCTGCTGTTTTTGCGTGATCAAATAAGGTTCATGTGTGAAGCGGTATGTTATGTAGTTCGGTGATTCTTTGTCTCTCCCTCTCATCCGCCCCACCCACCCACCCACCCACCCACCCTCAATGCGCTTACTAGTTGCAACCGTGAGCATGGTTCTCTAGTTCCTTGGTAGGGCTTAGCGGGGCAGGTTCCCACGTCGGCGCAGGGCTTCCAGCTTCGAGCTACCTACAGAACAGCCTATTCGACACGGTGTTGGTGGAGTCTGAAGCAGCTTGACTCGCCCCACGTGCAAAAAGAAATCGTCATGCGCGCGAATGCATGCGCCGTAATTAGTTTCCTCCACACGTGAACTTGTGACTGTAAGCTCTCAGCCTCACGCAGTTTCAACAATCAGGGTTGTGAAAGATCAATGTCATGGTGCATGAGGTGGGCGCGAGGCTGCCTGCTAGCAATCAATGAGGTCATCCGCTTGCGCAGGGCATGCGGCAACACAAACGAGCATGTGTTGGAGTAGCGTTTTCAGAGGCTTTTGGACTGGAGGGAGGCTGGGAGGCTTTTAGAGTCGAGCTCTTTGGCCAAAGCACTGATGGCCCCAAGGGAGGCTCATTGAGAAGCATGTCGGACAACATTTGTTGCATGTTTCAAGCAGGGGTTGCCACGCCACATGTCCAGAAAGAGCTTAAGCGGCGTGCTTGCACAAGCGCTTTCCATGCATACGCATTCACTTTTGACGTAGAACTCGGACTTTTGACTGTGAACTCAACCTTGCGCACGTGCGGATGTTAAGGCATTCTGTTTCTTGTTGCGCGTTAAAAGACCGGAGGTTGCTATTTTACGGTGAGAGTTCAGGGCTTCAACGTTCTGAAGTTCAGAAAGCAGACGAAGCCAAAGATAGTGTTAAAAAGTGCTTGCTGTGCAACCAGCCATGAATTTTGTCAAGGATCATGGATGACAGATGTTGGTGTTATTTGGTGGTAGATGATGTTTTTACATGGGCGTTGACGTGCTTTGCATCTTTGGAACTAGACATTTGCTAGATGTGATTTGATTGCACCAACCTGTTTTAGACTTGTCGAATTAAACTAGTAAATGGCCTCCTACTAAAGATATTATACGGTATATCTCTCTTGACTCATTGATGCAAATGACTGTGGTTGCAAGGCCTGATCCGAGATCGTCAACACGCTGGGGGTCCAGGGATTTTATTGAGATTGACAGATCAGACCACCTGCGGCGGGTGCCTGGAACGGACCTTGTTCGAATGGCTGCTTGCCGACACTAAAAACGGCGAAACTACGGATTTTGGATGGAGGGCTTGCAAAGGCCAAGTTGCCACTGGAGAAAGTGGCATGGTTCAAATTTGGCCAGGGGTGTTCTGATTTAGACAAGCAGTACGATCTTTAGTCAAGTTTTCGACGACGGCATCTCTGTTGCAACGTTTCATGTGTTCACCATGACAAGACAATGTCGAAAAGTGCCCAGTAATTTTCAACAAACACACATGTGGATTGTGGATTGTCCTAAAGATGAGGTTCCAACATCGGGTTGGTACCAACCAAATCTTTGGTGCGTCACGTGCGAACAAAACAGCAGCCATTGGCATCGTCTACGAGTGATCTCCCCAAATGATCAAGAACATGCATGCGAATTAGCAGGTTTCATTTTCATCAGTATAAGGGCAGCGTCTTGAGGATTAGGAATCAAAACCAAAATCAACCAGGATCCAACAACCGGATACAAATCCAACGATCCGTTTCAACACGGACATCTTGGTAAGTTGGTCAAACCGTAGTACTGTTTGTAGGATCGCATCTATTTTCGACATCATTTGTCAACATCTTTCAACCCAGTGCATTCGATCAGCATAAATTCCTCACTCATCAACTGATGCGACTGAAACAGCGCAAACTGTAACCGCTGAGGTTACGGGAACCCTCGGCCTTTTGCATGGCCCTTCAGCTTGAACGTGAAGGGGATGAGGGGTTTCAGATGCTTCAAGGTTACAGTTTTTTCGTTGGGAATGGTTTGGCACGACATCATGGATAATTGATTTTGTAAGTGCCAGATTCACAGAGGTTTCCATGTCGATTTGGCAAAGTTGCAGGCAGACGGGCAGGCAAACACCTTTAAGGTTGTCAAGACCTAAGAACAAGGATTTTTTTCAGAACTTTATACTTGATGTATCCTGGAAGACGCGGGATATGATTTGTCCAACTGGGAGACGAAAGGGCCACCCACAGGGGTTCCTTGATTCTCGGTCGGTTCTCATCCTTTCTGAGGTCCTAAGCCATTTGATCACTCTCTTCGGGGCCTGCTACTCTTTGACCATAAGGGCCGCGAAAGGACAACTGCGGATGGACGGCATGTTGGAAAAGATAGAGAGAGAGAGAGAGAGGGAGGAAAGGAGAGAGAATTGCTGCCTATAGTGAACTATAGTGACCTCGTGACCTAGTGGCAGTCTTCCATGATCGAATACCTACGTAGTAGCAGGGCCTCGAGAATCATGAAGAGGTTTACCGTTTGGTTGTATTCTCATTTTCAGTATCCAATCATCGAGCCGTTGACTGACGTGCCCTTCAACATCTCGTTTGTGAAATAGGATTGCCCTCCTGTTTTATTTTCTCAGGAGGTGGTTGATGAACACTACTCACTAGTGTTTGCATTGTTAACTTGCGCAGGCCGGCTTAGCCCATCGCTACCAGATTTTGATAGTGGCAGTAATGATTGGACATGAATGATTTGGCAGGGTCTTCTCACCATGGGGTGAGGATGCTTGTTGATGGACGGGTCTCTCCTTGTCGATGTTTTGTAGGGCCTACCTTGAGTTTCCTTCTACCCTTCACTCCAAGACCTCACAGATGAGTTTCAAAAGGCGGGTGAAAAGTTTGGGATACCTGGAGTATCCCGGATTTAAACAATTTTTTGATTTCCAGTGATTTCCCCAAGTCAGCTTGTACCAGCGGTACCTGCTCGCAGGTCTGAGTACCAGGCGTGAGAACCGACCGATCACCTCGCAAGGCTACGTGGCTCGGAGAGCACATGCCTCGGTCCAGCTGGGTAAGGCCGCGTTGCTTGGAGGAAGCTGGAGGGAACACGTTCAATACCCTCCAGTGGCTGGTTGTTCAATACCCTCCTTAGCTATAGGTGGGGCAATGCATGTTTCCCTTCGACTGCTTGTATAGGTATGGACCGTATGGAAGAGTGTTGCTTACCCGTGCTGCTTTGCATCGGGACCCAGACCCGTCCACCTTGGTGCCTCAAAGCAGTTTGGAGGTACGTGACTGCCAGGAGTGCAGAGCACATGATTTGTCCCTTGCGTTCATTGCGTGCTGGACGTAGGAATGGTTACAGTATAGTATATATTATATATACTTCTCATTCCCCATGGCTCATGAGTGGATGTTTCTAGTCTTGTGTGAAGTCCGGGTGCTGGTGAATCAATGACCTCGTGGGTTCCTCACGCTTTTGCCAGGTGTGAAGTGTGGAGCTTTTAGCAGGATGCCCGTTCCCATGAACTAGAGGGACGGGTAGCGCATGCACAGGTTCTGGGTAGCACAAGTCACAGTTGAGCCCACTGAAGAGCGTGAACCAAACGGATGAATCACCAGCTATACTCACGAGGACGGGTCATGCCCTTGTGAGAACATGTTTCTTCCAATCAAGGCCGGGGAGTTATGGCCACGCTGGAGGATGTTCAATGTTCAAAGATTCCCCATGCAGGCCCTGTTGGCTTGTGCTCAACAGTCTCCGAGCTTTGCAAGTCCTTGTCCTCTCTGAGATGAGAGGAGTTATGAGTTCTGTCCTTTCTACGGGCTACTGCTTCCCACAAAGTGCAGCACTTGACCAAACACTGGTGATTCTTGTAAAAGGATCAGCAACACCGACCAGCCCAGGTTTGCTGTTCTTGCGTTTCCGCACGAGAAATCCACGGCTGGTTTCCACACCGTAGCTGAAAGCTGAGGTTCTCGGGCAAGCCCATGGTGCATATGAGCATCATCCAGGATCCAGCCAATAACGCTCTTGGGACTCAACTTGACTCGATTTGCGCTTGGGGTTTTGCTGTGGTTGCGGGGCGCCAAGATGCGCCAAGTGACCGGTTGAGATAGATCCGCGGTTGAGACTTCGAGAACTTGAGCAAAGTACAAACAACCCACCAACTGGTAACATCGATTTCGTTGGGTGTTTGCGGATAGATGTATTGCATCGTTATATTCATGGTAGCAGTAGTTCCCACGCATCACCTGCTTGTTGACCATGTGGCGTGGTACAAGCAAAAGTCCCTCACGTGAACCTTCCAACACGCTGAGATTCTCTCTGACCCCTGACCCTACCAGGTCCCTACCGGCCCGGCCTTGGCACCAAAAAGAGACCTTTTGATGTGAAAGTGCGAGTGGCTGAGGACAACTTTCAAGTGCGAGAGGCTGCGTATCGGCAATTCCTGTCGATGTGCAACTCGGAGCACCGGACGATGGACTCGTGTTGTGTTTCGGTGGGCGGTGTGAGCCGTTTGGGTGGCTGTGGGCGGTTTTGGACGATTGGCACCTTGGCAGTGGAAAACAGCACAAATCTCTGAGAGTACTTGTGCCTAGCAGGGCTCCTGAGTTGTGAACAGTTCCAAGAATTCTGCCAAGACCTTGGGGCGATCGTCCAGTGTCGGGGCAGCGGGCTATGAATTGCGGCACGGGGGCATTTGATGTGAAAGGAAAGGAACGTCAAAGCTGCGTGGATTTGCTGCACCAGAATTCCGGAAATGTGCATTTGCTGCTTACTACCACCTCACACACTCAACCAGCGTCTTGCGGACACATGAGAAGGAATCTCTGGGCAGTTTCATGTTCGCTGTGCCATACTTACCACTTCTCATGCTCTAGGATAGTGGCAACACCTTGATATGATTCACATGATATGTTGGAGGCCGCTATTAGAAACAAGGACAAAAGACTAGGGAAGAACGGTCTAACCTAGTTTGCTATGAGTCGCTTGGGCCAACGAGCTTCGCCCCAGGCTGCGAGGTGGCGGAACGCACCCGGAACGGCGAAGAGACGGAACATCAGCGAGCCCCGGAGGCGGAACATCCGCAGTGGGGCTGGTATGGACGGAACACAGAGGAGAAAACGCGCATTTTTTCCGAAGCTGCGTGGTTTTGAGACAATGACTTTAGATGTGGAACAGTGGAACATGTTGAAAGTTAGACTCATCTATTTTTGTACTGTAGAAGGTTGCTTTTGCCCAAACAAATACTTGCTTGAGGGTCACAGGCGCAACAAGCTTCGAGATTTTGGGCGATTGGTGCCCAGATTCCAGGGCAGCCAAAACCATGAAACCGTCTACCTGTAGGCAGCCATTGAGCTCAAAACGTTGTTTGGGTAATTTTTGGGTAATTAATGGTGACACAGGAGCTTGCCCTACGGCTCTCCCCCCCCAACAAAGGAATCGACGCAACATGTATTGATTTACCCTTTTGCAACCGACATCTTTTGGGAAACCAGACTTCTCTTAGCAGACGGTTTGTGTGAAGGACAAGGAGCTGGTACTTGGCAATTTGTGCCTGCAAGGTGGATTGCTGGGAGAAGAACGGCTCCAAGGTAGCTCCAGCCACTGGGTGTTTGAGACCTTGTGCTTCTACCCCTGTACCTAGACCGAGATATGCGACCTATAGATATCGCGCTCAAGAACACGTCTCTTACCATCTCACAGTTCGTGCTCGCTGCTCCACTGACTTGAAAGACAGCTCTTGCCAGAGAGCGGACGATATCCTTACACTAGCAAACTTGGCTGCCTACGTAGAAACTCACAGGCATGGTATGATTGGTATGGTTGGCAGGGCAGTATTGACCTTTGCTCACCTGAGCTCACCTGGAAAGGGCGTATGAGGGAGCCCCCATCGGAAGGTGTTGTTTGTAGCAAGCTGACATTGCAGTACTTCCTCTTCAACCGGCGGTGCTTTCGAAGGGAAGGTGGTTGAAGCAACTTCACTCACTTGTGTTGAAGCCGCCAACCCTTCTTTTAGGAATCCTGGGTTCACGGGGAACTCCTGGCAAGCAAGTCTTCAGCTGAGATCGAAGCTGGAAACTACGAGAGCTACGACTTGTCGAACAAGCGGCGGACGAAGTGCTATATCGATAAGGATCCCGAGTCAATCATATCTCCTTGAAAGGAGACTTAGGCAGATCCCAATGCATAGGAAGTAGATAAGAGGTGTCTCAGAGGTGGTCTACATGGTAGCAACCAAGGACAGAAGGCACCCCGCAAAAAGAGCGAGATTCCGACATCTCCAACGAACCAAGTTCTGTTTGGAGGAAACCATACGAATTTCCAGTGCTTGTGATGCATTGTCGTCGGGTTCAGGAGCTCCTTGGAATCCAAGAAGGTGAAAAAGTGCGATCTGCGTGGTCAGATACTCCGAGGCATGGCATCTACAAGAGCCTCGGCTACAGGGATCGGCATTTGGGCTACAGCTGCGGTCCAAATATCAAGCGATTGGCTAGGTGAGGGACTTGTTTTTGTTCGGGACTTCATCAAGGCTATTGTACATGATATGACACAATAGCCTGTTGGATCAATGGCAGACTTTCTTTTACACGCTTAGGGTAGATAGGGCAAACCCAGGTTTCGGTAGCTATCAGGAAAACTAACTTTTACACTTTGAGCCATGCACCCTCTAAAGTCAACGGCACTTGTGGTGCACCTTTGCGTCTTCGGTTAGCTGTTTCGAGTCCCGTTGGGTAGACCAAAGGGTAGACGGACTGCTTCAGCCTTCACCACGGCACCTGTTGGATGGCGAGGATGTTCTTCGGATTGCTTTTCTACTACCTCATTCTGCTGGGAGGCTCAGGAGTCGGGTGTTTGGTGCAGCGAGAGTGGCAAAGCGGCCCAATATGCTTCACATCGCAGTGCCATCGTCCAACTTCTGGCAAAGTGGGAGTTGTAAGGATGGTCATCCATCCAAAACAAAATTGCAGGGTCATATGCCCAAAACAATGTGTCAGTGTCAATCCCTTACTTGCAAAAGAACATGCTCGAACATGCTTGGTCCACACCCGTTCTTTCTCAAATCGGAAAACCGGACATGGCCTTTTCAGCATCCCTTTCCAAGTGATCCTTGGCCCCAAGGGGCCTGGGCTGGTCCACATCGTCCAAGGGCTGGTCGCCACGTGCGGCACCGAGCGCCGCTCGTGCGTCGTTGCTGGCGAGGTTCTTGATCTCATGGGTGGCACCCGAGAACTTCAAGACCTTTTGGACAGCAGTAGGCCACTGCATGGACCGTCTTTGGGTGTCAGTGCACCACTTTCGCAGTGCGTCTCAGAGAAGTGGGCCATGCAGTCATGCACATTTCTCTTTCTGACAAAAGAAAAGCAGATCAACACCTGAAAGCCAGGAAGCCAATGGAGTCGATGAACCCATTTTGTACAGAGAAATGGATAGAAATTGTCAGTTCTCGGTTTTGCCAGCCTGGTCTTCCATCACTACCTCTCTTCCCCTCCAGGCTTTAGGCCTCTCTTCCTGATCGTCATACCATGTGCCGTGGCCGCTTGACAGCTGCTACAACTGGGTGGGGGCCAACACCTATAGGCCCCTCAAGGCCTCGGTTCTGTGTGGCTCTGTGGTTTTGAGATATCTCTGGTAGAGCCCGCTTATTGGACACCCAAAAGGTTTGTTTGCTCAAAAAAATATTATTGAACTCACTATATAAGATTTCTAGTTTGGCAAAGGTCTTGGAACACTCCCTGGGCCAAGCCGTAAAAACTCTTTCCAACTGATCTCTCTTAGGTCCTTCATCACTACATCGAGCTCCGTCGGGAAGTGCAATCCCTTTGCGTCCTCACCAGCAGCTTTGGCCTGTAGAGGATTCGTGTTACTCCTTGTCCCCTTGACGTGGCGGGCAAGGTCTCCGGACTGATTCCCAGATGAATATCTTAAAATTGAAAGCCTTCTAGATGCTCTCCAATGATTCCAAACCCACCCTTCCAACACGTTGGCTTTGGGAGAGTATTGCCACATCCAAACACATGTCTTTGTCTAAGAAACGCCCGTGGACGGCCCGTTTCAGGCTGGGGCCGCTTGCTGCACTTGACACGGCGACCGAATCCCCAAGTCTTCCCGGCGATACTTTGCCCTGCGTGGTATGGGGGCACCTCCATACAACTGGAGACCCGGCCAATGGGGAAGGTGCCAGCACAGAAGAATCCGCAGGTGTTCGATTTGTGGAAAAAACATGAAAAGCCGATTCCTTTTAACCGACTTCTTGTTCTGGTGGGAATGCCATTGTGGCCCCATTTTTAAAACGCCCTAGATGCAACACTTGCTTTCCCTTGTGACACAACACTTGCTTTCCCTTGTGACACACTCATACATGCGCTTTCAACAGCGGGAATGCTTCAGGAGTGTATTGGAGGGACGCTCAATTTGCGATTGGTTAGAACAGCTCAACATAGCTACAGTAGTAGAAGGTACTAGGTGGAGGCCATCGCTACTAGTAACAAGAAGCTACAGTACTTCTTTATTGCCTTGCTTTCTGACATTCTGGTTTTGTCTCAACTGGCTGGTGGCCTTTTGGATGGGTCTTGTTTTCCATCATTGTAGCATCCAGTGTTGGTGTTTCAATTTCCATTTCTCACTCTGCAATTCCGAAACACTTTCCAGTCGCCCACCATCTACCTTTTCGTGAAACAAACCAGTTTGTGCAGTGAAAACTGTAAGGAGAGACTGCTGTTAGGGAGGTTGTGACTTGTCACTTGATGATGTTGCCTCTCAAGTGACCCCCTCAGCACCAGATATGTTTCTCGAGTGGCTCTTGTTGGGGGCCTTTCTTTGTGGAGTGACCGTGGGTTGTCTCGTGACTCGCTGGTTCTTGCGCGGATCCGTGGGTTGGCGCCCTTTTGTGTGTATGCATTGGGCCGTCCGATTTTGCTGGCTTGCGGTGGGAGTCTCGCTCTTAGTTTCAGATGGCTGGCTATGGCCGGGCCTGCCGGACGCTGCAACCCTAGCTGGCTTGGATACAGTGGCTCGAATCTGAACACACTGTTCTTGCAGCGAACAAGTCTGGAACGCCGTGGATCAGGCCCTTGGTGGCGGATCACCGACCCTGTTTGCTATGTTGCCAGCCAGCACCCTTCGTCAGACTTTGCGGGCAGTGCGGGTTGGTGTGGATCCGAACCGCAGGGAGTTGCAAGCGATGGAGATGATCCATGTCGCTTACATGTGGCGTGTGTCGAGGCAACCCCTGCAGATGGCAGACCTGGACCCATTAGCAGATCCTGCTCCTGTCATGGCAGCCCCGGCAGCTCCACCTCCAGCTGGGGCTTCACCCACGAAGAAGATGTAAGTGTCAAGTGTGACGGACCAGATGGAGACTCGGAGATCGATCTCATGACGAGGACAGAGCTGGACCAAGCTCACTTGTGGCACATCGACATGACTGGCGCAGAGCCGAGCGACGATGCAGAGCCCACCTCCGAGCAAATACCTGCATTGGGGGATCGAATCGTTCGCCGAGGAGAAAGTCCCTATGCCGACGACTCGCCCCACTCACACCTGCCCAAAACAAGAGATTGAAGGGTTCGTTGAGTGCCGCGCTGCAATTCACACAGTCCGCAGAGATGAGGGAAAAGGTTCAAGCTGAGTACATGGACTCAGTGTATGCTCAACAGACGGTCAACTCCAAGACTGCGCTGAGGCAGACGTGGACCAAGATTTCTCAATCTGGGATCTGAGCGACGAACGAATGCCGCTCACGGCGTCGCAGATTCATGAAGTGTCATGCAGCTTTGAGGGCAGCAGGATACCGAAGAAGTGCCACTGCGTACATTTGCGAGGCTTTTCAATTGCATCGTGGGAAGGGTTTTCCCACCACCGATGTGCTGCACATGGCAATCAGAGATGCAAAGAAAGCAGTCACCAGAGCCATAGGGCCTCCTCGTCGTGCGCCCGAAGTTCCGTTGAGATGGCTGGCAGCTCTTCGGGAGAAAGGGCCAAGGGATGAGTCTTGTGGAGCTTGGCCGAATGACGGGTATGAGGTTTGGGTGTTCGGGACCAGATTCATTTTGAGAGAGCAAGAACTTGCGTGCATCTTCACGCAGGAGATAGAAATGAACCACAGGCTTCAACAGGTCACCCTCAACCTGCCGGTGACGAAGAGCAACGCAATGGGACGTGGGGCACGCAGGACCTTGGGATGCATTTGTTCGAAGTGCCCGGCCCTGAGGAATCGGCGACGTGCGGAGTGAAAGAGTTGGCTCGGAAGAACACACCACTCCCTTTGACCCAATTCTTTGCCAGGCATTCATCGGCAGCAATGTTGGCGTATGTTGAGGAAGCCTATGACAGGAGCCCCCAGCGCGGCAACCTCCAGGTTCTTAACCACTTGGAGATGAAAGACCAGATAACCTCCTTGTCCGGAAAGACAAACGACGTGGCAAAAGCCTACGATGAGTTGAACGCCGAATATGAAGTGCTTGCAGCAAAGTGCAACTTGCCTTTGGATCGGTCTGTTTGGAAAATGTTTAATCAGTGGAGTCACCCAGAAGTGGTGATCAACTTGGTCACAGGCAAGACCCACTCCACGGCAGGAAATTCTTTTCGGAACCGCCCGACTGAATGTGTGACCTCGTGCTCATGGCCGTGGATTGCGGCAGGACGCGTTGCGAAAGCGGCGCTGGAGCCCGCTGATTTGCCAAGTTCGGAACGAGTGACACCGTGTGAGCGGTGTAAGGAGAAGCTGCCGGAATGGGCAAAGCTTGAAGCGATCCATTAGAAGAGATGGACCACAGCATGGGTATGACAAGGGTGTTTGTGAGGTATTTCTCGCATGCTTGCTCCTTATCCACAGCATTCGTGCACAGCCCAGCCAGATTCAGGCCCGATAGTTCGGGGGGCTCAAAGCGATAGATCGCTTGAGAAGCAACATGCACCCACGCTGTGGACAGCTCGAAGCAAAACGATCGCACTTGCATCGTGACCACTTGTGAAAGAATTGTTTTGTGATATAATATAGAAAGGGTGGTAGGCTGGGGTGTAGCAGAGAACGACTGCAACAGTTTTCTTTCCTGGGATCTTGCTCACTGCTTTGAAGACGCCGCCGCCACGGATGTTCTCTCTCTCTCTCTCTCTCTCGCTCTCTCTCTTTGTCGCATGTTGTTCCGGAGCATCGGCTAGTTCTCCAGCACCGAATCAGTTTTCTGTTCTGGACATGTCGCTCTCAGGCCTTGAGCCACAGAACTTTTGTTCATCACACCTGACAACACCATGCCTTCCTCCTCTGAGCATCACCAGCCAAGCTGGGTCTGCACCATTCCCCACGGTGCCTAACCCTTCACACAAAACGCGCGTCCCTGCAAAGAACGCGCTCAAGCAACCGTTCCGGCAGCGGCAATTTGGGTTCCAGCGCCCGCTCCGGTGGGTCTCGGGACCATACATGTCCTTTTTCCCGAAAGCATTGCGAAGGGTTCTTCCGGAAAATCCCTTGAACACTGACACTTCGACACTTACACTTACACACTGACACTTCCACACTTGCACTTGAACACTGACATTTCGATACGTACACTTGAACACTTACGCTTTCACACTTACACTTGAACATGAACATGAACACTTACACTTCTATATACGTAGCCCAGTGTAAGTGGAAGAGTGAGCATCCAACGGCAAGTATCCAAGTGCAAAAGTATGCAAGTGTGATGAGTATGCAATGAGTATGCAAGTGTGAGTATGGAAAACTTGCACGGGAGATGTCCTAATAAATTCCCTCTTAAAGGCGGAGGGTGCGACGAACAGCGTCAACCGAAAATGCAACCCTCTGCGGAGGTCGTGCGTGTCGAGTGCGCGAAATGCAGGCGAGAGTGCGATTTGACCGGTGCGCGCGCAACCCTCTGCGGAGATCGTGCGTGTCGAGTGCACGAAATGCAGGCGAGAGTGCGATTTGTCCGGTGTGCGCGCAACCCTCTGCGGAGATCGTGCGTGTCGAGCGCGCGAAATGCAGGCGAGAGTGCGATTTGGTCTGCGCGCGCGCAACCCTCTGCGGAGATCGTGCGTGTCTTGTACGCGAAATGCAGTCGAGAGTGCGATTTGGCCTGTGCCCGCGCAACCTTGTGCGGAGATCGTGCGTGTCGAGCGCGCGAAATGCAGGCGAGAGTGCGATTGGGTCTGTGCGCGCGCAACCCTCTGCGGAGCTCGTGCGTGTCGAGCGCGCGAAATGCAGGCGAGAGTGCGATTTGGTCTGTGCGCGCGCAACCCTCTGCGGAGATCGTGCTTGTCGAGTACGCGAAATGCAGTCGAGAGTGCGATTTGGCCTGTGCCCGCGCAACCCTGTGCGGAGATCATGCGTGTCGAGTGCGCGAAGTGCAGGCACTGGCGACTTTCTAGTACTACTTTAGTGCGCGGAGTATCTGTGGAGCTGGAAGATGAGAACTGGCGACTTTGTAGTACAACTTTAGTACGCAGAGCAATCTGTGGAGCTGGAAGCTGAGAACTGGCGACTTTGTAGTACAACTTTAGTGCGCGGAGTATCTGGGGAGCTGGAAGATGAGAAATGGCGACTTTGTAGTACAACTTTAGTACGCGGAGTATCTGGGGAGCTGGACGATGAGGATTGGCGACTTTGTAGTACATCTTTAGTACGTGGAGCAATCTGTGGAGCTGGAAGCTGAGAACTGGCGACTTTGTAGTACAACTTGAGCACGCGAAGTCTCTGGGGAGCTGGAAGATGAGAACTGGCGACTTTGTAGTACAACTTTAGTACGCGGAGCAGTCTGTGGAGCTGGAAGCTGAGAACTGGCGACTTTGTACTACAACTTTAGTACGCGGAGCATCTGGGGAGCTGGAAGATGAGAACTGGCGAAGTTGTAGTACAACTTTAGTACGCGGAGTGTCTGGGGAGCTGGAAGTTGAGAACTGGCGACTTTGTAGTACAACTGTAGTACGGGGAGCAATCTTCGGAGCTGGAAGCTGAGAACTGGCGACTTTGTAGTCCAACTTTAGTACGCGGAGTATCTGGAGAGCTGGAAGATGAGAACTGGCGACTTTCTAGTACAACTTTAGTACGCGGAGTATCTGGGGAGCTGAAAGATGAGAACTGGCGACTTTGTAGTACAACTTTAGTACGCGGAGCAATCTGTGGAGCTGGAAGCTGAGAACTGGCGACTTTGTAGTGCAACTTTAGTACGCGCATAATTCATCTCTCGCGGCTGAGTCATCTCTCGCGGCTGCTCTGGCGCCCCTGCAGCTGAGTCATGGAGGTGAAAACATAACAAGATGTTCACATGATAACCAACTGCATGTCTCATACCGTGACTTCTTCCTGACAAATCCAGTGTGGACGTCGTTCTGCGCAAGCGCAACAAGTACTAGACATACACGATCTCTTCTGTGTACAAAGACTAGTCGCGAGCTGAACAGCGAGAGTGCGCTAAAACATCTGCAGTGCCTGCTTTGTGTCACCTCATGCTACTTTGTCGCGTTTTTCTTTGAGACAGTCATTCAGTCAATGACAAGCATAGTGGTTGGTTAACTACATCCTAGAAAAGCTGTGTCCTGGAGTGAGGGAAACGTTACCTC